GGGGGGTGGGAATTTATGTAGAGGAAGGGTGCTTATTATAGTGTGGGCACTCATTTGAGGAAATATGGTATTTAAATTTTTTTTGTGACAGCCTTCATTTGGTTATGGCAGTGAAACAGAAGGCCTTATTTGTCCATGGCTACCCAGGGGTGAAAAGTTCTTGGTGGTTTCTGGAGGTTCACCCCATTCTATGTTTGCCCTGCCCCTCCCCTCTCCTACTAGTTTGCCTCTGACTAGTTCATCACTGATGACAAGTTTGCCCCATCAAATACAACAAGCCTACTCCCTCCTTGGAATAAATCTTTTTGATGGGGGTTAACTGATAGGGGGCATACTTGTAATGGAACAAAACTTCTATAAATCAATTTGCCAATCACCCCCTAGGTAGCTACTCAGCAAGCATAACAAAGCATTCTCCTCTTGTGTGGTTTATATGCCACTGAGATATGTGAATTCAAAGACAGACTAATCAACTGCATTTTGGAACTAAAATTGATCCCTGAAATGCTCAAATGAGGTATACCGTTAAATGATAATTTACTTTATTGCATGGTCAAATTTGAAAACCTAATAAATGCACTCAAATTTAAATTTAAAGTCAGTGTGGGGCTACTATCACTGATAATATTAGTTGTGAAACCTCTTTTGAAGGTTTAATAAATCAAAATTCTCCAATCTCACATGTGTGCACACTTTTTATAATTAATTTAAACATGACTTTGTAATATATGGTCTTGCAGTCAAGGAGATATTTGTTCTAAATCCTTAGAAACTAATAGTATTGTATAAACTACATATTGCTAAACCTCAGTTGTTCTCACTCCTTTGTGAGAAGAGTGCCTAGGAAAGACATGTTTAGAAAAAGAATGTTTAAAATTTTGATTCAAGGTGGATTCATGATGAAATGAAATTTGCCTGCATCTGCAGGAGACAGGAAACACTTTGTCATATATGTAGACTCAAACCTGGGTAACTGTGAAACATTAAATTTTGTTACAAAGTGTGAAACTGTAGCCAAAACAAAGTTTTCCATCTAATCTTTCAGACTTCATTAGCCAAATGAGCTCCATGTTGTCACAAGTTTACACATCATGTCACTTAATCTGCTCAAATCTTTGCCCTTTGTGTAGTACTCTTGCATTTTTCTGAATGAACATACTTTGATAACCAAAAATATTTTAATCACAGTTACTTAAAAGGAAGTATTTAAAAACCATGGGTGTGTTATGTAAAACATGGTTGGATTTAATTCAGCCAAATAATCATATTTAAGCACTCTCAATAAATGACCCCATTTTGACAGTCCATTTTAGCTACAAGCATGGAAAGGGTTTTTAGTGTCATGAACTCAGGATTCTACATTAAAGTTCACCCTTGGGTTTACATTTTGAGTGACCATGCCAGAATTTCTCCTTACAGTATCAATACAATATCAAGCAGACAAGTGGTGAGAATAAAGAAATATATAAATTTGGGGATAATTGGTAGATCCAATACTAAATTCTCTGAACTAACATTATGAGAATTGTATGGTTAACAGTAACAAGAATTACAAATTTGATCTGGGAGTTGAAGGGTTAACAGTATTATGAACTGCATTTTGTGGTATTGCTATTGATAATAATTCATATTTTACAGATGACTTTCTTTAGTATTCTCTGAAATTTCATCTTTAGTCAATTAAACCATAAACTTTATTTGTAAATATGTGACAATAAATACATTTTCAGTGAAAAAAAAAAACGTTTTTGAACACTTTTAGGGAAAGCTATTTTCTTCTGTAATAAGATTCAGCTCTAACCTTAACAATAAAGATTAATGCGATGAAAAAAAATGCCTTAATATTTTTCCTTTATTGTTATCTGATCCAATATGCAAAAAGTGTTGTAACCATTAATGATTATGCTTTCATATCAAATGAGTTTTGCACTCATTAAATATATATATCTTACATTTGTTTACAGCAAAAGTGGCAATCATGAAGTCTAAGAAGGGCTGTTGTTGGTAGAAGCACCTTCCAGTTTGGCAACTTAGGCAGAAGTTATAATCACAGTCATATAAAGAGTTGTCAGACAGTTGAGTGCTTTAAGTGTGGTTGTGTAAACTGATTGGCCAGTTTACAATGATGTTCTGGGCTGCTAGACTTAAATAGCATGAATGCTCATACTTAGGGGAGGAGGGGTGGTGGGTTTTGTGGAACTTATTTGAGAGAAAACATTTCCTGACAGAGAAATACAGTGGGCTATGTAGTTTGGTCATCACTTTTGGGACTTCAACAGAAATTCTGAATAGCACCAAAATGATTAAAATGAGTAATTTAAAGACAGATACTGCCTTTCAAACTGAAATGCAATTTGTCAAAAGTACAATATTGCAAACCAAAAAGGCCAAAACCCCAGCTTAGAGTAATAGAAACAAGTAAGACAACATTCAAACTAGATAATTACAACTCAGAAACACAACATTTTCATCCCCTGAAATGTTAAAATATTAATATTCTCTTAGGTCTAAGTCATAATTGATGGCAAGGCATTACCAACATTTGACAAAATGTATTAACAGCTCAGTTGTTGAACATGCAATAAGACAGCTGGAATGATTTTTTGTGGAACCATACTGGATTTAAATGTAATTTAATTAAAATTTAATTATCAAAATGAAGCATTACTTTGTGCATAATACTTCAATTACATATGGATTCAAATATGAACAAGGTCAAAGCATACTAATAGTGAATTCTGTTAAATGCTGGATAATTGAGTACATTCTTGCAGTTCTTTCATCTTTTGCTGAATAACAGATTTGATTTCATCCACTGTATTTTTGAGGTTCAGTGTCTTCCGTTTTTGTTGAACCTCTAGTTCATCACTGAGTGTAGATAATTCCTTTTGAATTGCCAGCTGTCTTTGTATGACAGCAATTTGCTCAGACTGCTGCCTTATGGAGTCTGTAAGACTCTTGTATTGGTCTCTCAGATGTAAGTGGAGCACCCATTGTGAAAATGACAAAGATTCTGGCATTTGATCATGATCTGCTAGCAATAAGCTCTTTTCATCAACATTTTCCATTGAGTAGACTAATGGGTTGCTTGAGTTAAAGTGGTTGTCATTTGATATGACAACTGCAGCACTGTCAACACCTCCAACAGGCCAAATGCCAGCATCAACATTCTGGGGTGCAGCCAAGTTCATGCCATGGTCTGAAGTTATGGAAAAACTGGATTGCATTGTTGACAATCCCAGTGGAAGTTCCTCACATGCTGTAACTGCATGGCTCTGTTCCAAAATTTCATTCTTATTCAGAATTGGATTTAGAGATGGTGAAGAAGAAGGTGGTGATGAAGCTGTTACTGCATTTTTTTGAGTGCCACTACAAAAATTTGAGCTGAGCAGTTTTTCACCACTCTTTTCAAGAATTTGAGAGAATAGTTGTCGATCCCTCTCCAGGATTTCCTGCTGGTTTAATGCACTGAATTCAGTGCCTTTCATGGGCCAAGTGACACAAACAACAGAATCTGGTTTTGAGTCCAGTGGACTATATGACACATGGCAGCGACTGCGTACCCAGATCCAAACTTGTCCTTTGGCGAGAAGACGATAACAACAAGTTGTTATTACCCCTGAATAAAGAAGCATATTGTGGTACTCTGTAAGATTGGCCAAATCATCTTCATGACAATATTCATACAAACACTGTCCAAGCAACTCAAAAGGATAGTAACCCAGAACCATGGTCGTACCTCTTTCCACACATTGAAACCTCCACATTTTATCCAATCTCGTTGTGAATTTCAAAACATGTTCATTATCAGCTAGCACAACAGTTTTATTCAATTTCGGTAAAGTTGTAACTCGCCCCAGAAACACAATAAAGCGATCCCCCCTTGTTTGATCAGTTCTAAAAGTCCTGCCAATACAACTAAAGGGTACGAACCCGCCTCTGAACTCTGCGCTTCGTGGAGCAAAACGAAGGCGACAGGAAAACATCTGTGCTGGTCTACTGATTGTATTATCCTTGTCAAAAGCTGTAAGCAGAGCATAAATCGTTCTTTGATCCTCTGGATGCACCAAGTCTAAAATGCTGCTGTTCTGAAGGGTTTTACAGTCGTAACCAAGGCAGGGGAACACGCTACTCGAAGCAAAACATATTTTGCTTGAATCATCGATCGCAATTACAATACCATCGAATCCATCAAGCATAGTTTGACGGAATTCTTCGCTCGTAATAAAATCCGGTTGCCAACTTCCACAAACCCTCTCAAGACTGTTGCTGCTTGATGTCGTGGCAAGCTGCTGAGTGTGGCGGAAGTATTCTATGCAATATTTCAGAACGTTGTTTCTGCTTAGTTTTTTCCCTCGCATAGGCAGAGAAGCAGATAGTTCATTCACCAGGTTGTTAAACCGATCTCTTCGCTTTTTTTCATTTTGATTCCTGACTAAGCAAGCTTTCTTAAAATCATCGAGACTTGAGCCTCCCGCTTCGTCCTCCGCCATCTTGGTTCAATTCAGCATATTTGGAATTGGCCAACCGCTTCGAACAACTTTATACGTTATGTAACCAGGACACGAGGCACTTTTTATGCGAAACGGTCAACAGTAAAATAAGAATTATCTTTTACTTTTTCCTTTTAAATGTATTTTTAGGCGCAGCTGTTTAAATGTAAAAATTTTAGAAAATAAAAAAAACAGAAAAACATGGGCTTCAGATGTGAATACTTAAGTAGTTGTCAAATTTAATCTCTGTGTTTAAAGTTTACTAGTACTAAGTGGTAAGTCATGCGAGGGAAAACACTTCATCAAGGCATGTGTGAGTTTAATGGAAATTATCAGAAAAAAATCACGTTCCATGAAAAAAGTAATCACGTATTAACGTGATAGCTGGTAGGCACCTTGTTCACATGTGAATAGCTCCTCTTCGCGTGTCCCATCTGCAGAACAACAGACAACGTCTGTGACTGTCACGCGAATATGTAAAGTACACGTGAAATCGTGGTCACGTGTACGAACTTTCCGTAGAATTCCGCAGCGTCAAATAAACGACATGTTCAACCTTTTGTTAGCGGTTTTGCTGTGTGATCAAAATACACTTCAGTTCAGTTGTAAATGGATAAGAGAATGGTACAAGAAGAATTACTTCTAAAAAACCGACCTATTGCAGTGGAGTCAATGGACATAGAACTTACGCACACGCACACGCAACCTTCTCTCAGGTCGCCCCATCAGCCAGGACTTACCCAAATTTTTCGCGTGTTCTCTTTATTTCACATTTCGCTCGCAGATGATTTAAAGACAAAGCAAACCATGACACTACAAGGGCCACATTTTAATGAAGAAAAATTTTCCTAGACTTTATTAGTGGTACTACGTGAAGGAAAAAAAACCTTGAATCAATTAATAAATTATTAATGTCATGAAGAAGGATCGATATGGTTGCCTTTACATCCAAACCAATCTTGAGCCCAGGGTCAATTTGCCATCTTGTCAGCGGTATAGTCGTCTATTGCAAGTACGTCATATATGGGGAATTATTACATATTATGTCTTATACTTTACATAGCAGGTAATTTAGTGTAAACAACTGGGTTGAAAACGTAAATTAGCCACCGTAAAGGGTAAAAAAGCTGACGTTTCGAGCGTTAGCCCTTCGTCAGAGCGATTAGGATAATCTAATTTTAATCTAATAGGTCATGTTGCTATGGGTAATGGGTATGTAGGTCATGTATGTGGACATATGATCCTAATCGCTCTGACGAAGGGCTAACGCTCGAAACGTCAGCTTTTTTACCCTTTACGGTGGCTAATTTACGTTTTCAACCCAGTTGTTTACACTAAATTACTTGCTATACTCTCCCACCGACGCAGCACCACAGTTTCTTTAGAAACTTACCCCTTTATACTTTACATACATATAATGTCCTATACTTTACATATGATAATTCCCCATACATGACGTACTTAGGCATTATTTGGGCAGGTAGGTCATGTTGCTATGGGTAATGGGTATGTAGGTCATGTATGTGGACATATGATTGGTGGCCATACCGCTGACAAAGAGCGAAAATGATCCTTAGCTCGAGACTGTATTAATTCAGAGCTAGGCTCATGCAATAAAGCATGATAATTACTCGCTGTGAGAGGACTTAAACAGTGACGTTTCCGTCTTTCATAAAAATGTTTTGCTACGTATATACGTTCTTTCTTCTTGTAAGTTCGCAGAGACAAAAGGGCTACCCAACAAGATAAAACAGGGTAGTAGAACCATAACACATTTAAATGATACAACCCACTGGCCCTTTATCTTTTCAGGTGATGAGGTGACTGCAAACATTTCTTCATTTCAAAGAGTAAAAAACTTAGCTAGGGCACTATCAAGGGTACAAAGACAAAAAGTTCCAAAGTTGCGGGGGTGGTAAACCAAGTCTTATGTTGGAGGGGCTATGATTTTATACCTTCAATGTGCAGATCTTTTAATGACCTTTTTGTTGTGAGAATTTCAGAAAAAAGTAAATATTGAGCATGTAATGGCAACTTGTGCCATATGGCACTCTCGCGCATTAAAGGGTTAAACATTTTAGGTGTAGCAGTTGAGGGCGTATGTCGAAGAGGACACGGCTTAGCTATTTCGACCGTGATGATATTGATATGCTTCACAGAAATGACAGGGTGACCCCGTTCCCGAAAATTGCCCTTCATGCAATTTGAAGTGAAAATAAGTAGATCCGTGTGTATCCGTAAATATTTGTATGTCACTCGTATGTAATTGCATGCACTCGTATGTATGCGTATGTCATTCGTATGTCACGTATGGTTTACGGTCAATTCGAAAAAAATGATTTCCATATATTTACAGTCATTTATTCATCACTCCATGGGTTCGTTTGCAACCAACATAATAATCAGCTCCCACTGAGTTGGCTTTTTAACTCAGATGGTGGAGCGCTGCACCGGTATCGTAGAGGTTATGGGTTCAAATCCCGTACAGTCCTAAATCAATCCTAAATTTTTTTCAGGCCTAATTTGATTACTGCTTAAGTTAACTAGTGTTCATTACTGCGAGGATCGCTTCCATATTCGGACTACTATTGTTGAAAAAGTCACAAGTATGAAAAGTAGACTGATTTCTTGAAAATATCACATTTACCGTTACGTAATGCACAAAGTTATTTGTTATTGTCAAGAAGTTCACCTAAAGATACAACATAGCTTTATATGATTTGGTTTAGTTTTTTTTAAAATTTTTTATTGTTAAGAAAGTCACAAATAGACACAAAAGAACTTTATTCGTATGTTACTCGCTCGACTTTTAACTAACTTGTCGTACGCGGCAATCGATATCTGTTCACCGGGGTTGGGAACGAACTGATTCACAGTGGGTACGAATAGACAGAGCATACACGAAACATATTTCAATTCTGATCATATGATCAATCTGTGTGTATTCAAGGAACCAACGCCGCTTAAGTTGTAAAGTTTCTCAAGTTAACGAAACGTCCATGGGAACGAAACGAGTGAATACTAAACAGAGAGTGCAACACTGTATTTTGTTGTTATGTACAACGCTTTTAGAATCGTTATTCAAACATATTTCAATTCTGATATATGATTGATTTCTGTGTAGTCAAAGTCTTTATGGTGTTGTTAGAAACTAACAACGCTTTAGTGATGAAGTTTCTCAAGTTTACGCAACGTCCGTGGTCCAAAACGAGTGAATAACAAAAAGACAGTGGAATGCTGCGTTTTGTTTCTATGGGAAGGAACAACGCTTTCAGGGTCGTTACTCAGTCATATTTCAATACTGACCATATGATCGATTACTGTGTAGTCAAAGTCTTCATGGTGTTGTTAAAAAACCAAAACCGCTTGAGTGATAAAGTTTTTCAAGTTTACGAAACGTCCGTGAATACGATATGAGTACATACCAGACGAACAACGCTTCACTGATTTTGTTGTTAGAAATGAACAACGCTTTTAGAGTCGTCACACAAACAAATTTATATTCTGATCGTCATCTTTATGCATGGCTTTGTCGTAAACAAACTTTATAGCCTATTTACAGTCTGTAAGTCTGATCTTTTTTAAGTAATTGTTTCTTCGCGCGACTTAACTTTTTATACAGGACGACATGACTAAAAATTACGGGCGACATGACTTCGGGTGAGATGACTTTCGGGCGACCTTGACTGGTTTCCGTCACCCGGAGTACTCGTGTGGTGTTTCGATCACGATCGACATAAAGAAGTAACTTGAAACAAATAATTACGTGTTAATCTATACCTAAATGAACAAAACATAATTGGATGTTAGAGATTCATAACTGAAATCTGAAATTATGATATTATGATATCACAGAGTTACCTAATACAAAATTTACTGCAACGTATCAATCTCTTGATCTCATTTCCGAGTTGTCATTGAACTGGACACTACTGGAAACAGTACACATACTTAAATGGTTAACCGGTCAAGTTGCTCCAAAGTCACCACGTCCGAAGTCATGTCGCCCTAAATTCTTTCTGAAGAAACAATTACTCATAAGATCAGACTTACAGACTGTAAATAGGAAATAAAGTTGAGAAATCTTTATCAATTCATGCGGTGTTCGTTTCCGACACACACCTTTTACCTTAAAAAAACCGGAAACCGCGACGGCAAATAGTTGCTTTTGGAGCTCAACGCTGCTCACATACGACGGTCCAAAATAGACTTTTCCAATCCCGCATTCTGCCCCTTTTTTCATTCTATCTGGTCATTCCGCTGCAATGAGCATTTTTATCCCGATTCCACCTAGTTAAACCTAAGTTGCTCTGGTTCACTGCCTTATTTAGTTCAATAGAGAGCGAGATTATAGCTTTGCAATATTGATGATGTATTCTAATTATGTAGAAAGGAAAAAACTTGCTCAAAGCAAACTATGCCGGCTTTAAAAAAAACTGTTGTTTCTGGGTGTGTTTATGGGCAGACTTTATGAGTGAGACACAAAAAACTTCACCTACGGTGGATTGAGCTGAGTTGTCACTCTTTTCCTGAAGTTTTAGGTTATGGTTAATAGTTAATTTTTAATGAGATGTTGACAGTGTCGATGACGCGAAAAACACGCTGTCGCTGGCCTTGTCATTGTTAATGCGGGATCCACTGTGAATGGCTAAAGCTGTAGTGGTCTCCCTGCCTGAGATAATTAGGCGAAGCTAAATAAATCACGTAACATCCGCAGTAAACTGTAGGAATTTCGTGTACATTTACGCGTGGTTTTCGGAAATCATTAGGCCCGTTTAAAGCAAATAAATACTTTTTAATGTCTCTAAGGTCGTGTGAATCTCGAGTTAAATTATGATCCCGCTTATACTCCTTTTATCCCCATCCCACCTTTACCCGTCCTATCCCCTATCCCGCATTCGAAATGGAGCATATACCGGTCCCGCCTTCCTATTTTCATCCCGCATCTCGCCCTTAAGTTTTCTCGTATCCCACATCCCGCCAAACCTATGTTAGACCCTCGCATACCATATGCTGAAGTTAAGGTGTGACTACGTAAGAGACGGTAAACACATCCAGCCATTCGCAAAATTCTAACTCAAAATATACATTCATTTTAAAATCAACCTCTTCGTTGGCGTCGCTGCTCTGACTGTTTAATTCCGTTTTTGAAACAGGTTGTTTAGGTACTCATTCTAATCATTACTTTTCCACATGGTTACTCGTGAATAAATATAGTGAGAAAGATGATTAAATTTTGAGCTAGGAATAATTATAAAGAAGAATGTTATTTGCTTCGCTACGAGCGTGAGAAAAGGAAAAAAAATCGAGTCCCTATGAGGAATCGAATCCCGACCCACGTATTCAGATCTTTAATTCACTGCCACTGAGCTACAGAAATATCTGGTGGGTTGGATCACCACAAGGTTTAAGAGTGACACGTTCCCTGCAAACTGTCAACAAAAACGATGTTGATAGTGTCATGCGAGTAAATTATAATGGATGGTCAAGGAATTACCGAACATACAATACGATGCCAAGAAAATAACCGAGATATTGCAGACGGAACAAAAAACTGAAGTGTTAAAATAAAAAAAATTTTTAAAAATTAAAAAAAAAAATGTGTAGAAAGTAGTCACATGACAAATTCAGCAACATCTTGGCCTTACTAACGTATTTCGTCCCCATGATAAAAGACAGACAACCCATAAACTCCCAGCAATGATCGGAAGGTAACTTCTTTTCACTCTTTTAATACACCGTTAATTACATTATTTTAAAATAATATGTCAACTACAGGATTTTTAAACGCAAAATTCTGATGACTCGCCAACTATGAAATTTAAGGCTGCCGGTTAGCAACGAGAAATAAGGTTAAGCACCTTGGGCGTGAATGAGTAAAAACTGTAGTACCAATTCTTGTGTATCTGTAAACGTAATACGATGGCAGTATTTACTGAATCCCACACCAAACATAGCAAAGAGTCACCTCAGCAAGCTATCCTAACTAACTAGTTAACACTTACACAAGTAACTGGAAGAACATTAGTGTCACTTTAATTCTAAGGCCCTACAACAAGACGTTATTTGAGTAAATAGTTACGTGTCGAGTGCTAAAATACACAATGGGATTATAACAATTACCTCTTGGTAACCGAGTTTGAGGTCCGTTCCATGAGCTAGGGACTGAGTTTTTTTTTGCTTGGATTTCTTGGTCCGTAACTTACAGTACGAATTGGGAAAACGGGGTTAGTAAGATGTTTATTACATCTTTGGGGTTCAAATACAAGGGGAAGGTTTCAATACACACAAACTTTTAACGTTAGCAGGCCGTACAGGGAAATATGACCCACTAAGTTGACCAATCATAGCGCATGCAGAGATTTAATAAGCATCAATAAACCAGATGAGTGCAGCACTCATCAGCACTGCTGATTTGAACCAGTACATTTGTTTTAACAATGTAAACCAAAGCATTGGGACGAATTTAAAAATTTGAATTTTCCAAGATCTTGTAGTTAAGGTGTAGGCTATTAGTAATAATAATAGGACTGAATGGAGTCCAATTCGCTCTGCAATCATATTAGTGATTGACAAAATTGGACGACCGTGAAGCGGGAGTCCAATTTGTCAATCACGAGTATGATTACAGACGGAATTGGACAACAAGAAGTCCTATTACCAACTAATCATAGCCGTTTCAATTTCCAAAAACAACAAATACATTTAAATCTAATATCTCCAGTGGAGGCAATGTCTAAAGGAGAAAAATTTCTCCATTTTGGAAACTACTCGATTTCTTTTTAGGATAAGTGGCTGTTGCTATGGTTATAGTGTTTAATTCTGTGATTGGTGGGTTTGGCTGAGAAGACTTAGTATGACTGACTATTTTAACTGTCTGATTACAGGTGTGCAATTAAGGCCAACTGTCCAATAACACTGTCTGATTACAGCTCTACAGAATGATTAGTGAAAAATAAAGCAGCTAATGCGCCAATTGCATTTGAGGAAATTGTAATGGTTATGATTATACTAGATAATGATAGTACATAACTCAACTGCAAGCAACCTGTCAATTTTTTTAAGTGTTCACATTAAAACAACAAAAATTACATATATTAACATTACATTACACCATCTTCTCTGTTTAGCCAATAGAATGAGTTTCATCCTGTACCATTTCTTACATTGCAAAGCCTGACATAACTTTTTTAAAATGGCAGTGCATAAGTTTGGAAAGCTTCATTTGCTAAGCATATGTACTTTGGTTACTGATCTTACAAATTAAGACCAGAGCAAATATCATGCTGAGAAGCTGTGAAGAGAAGATTCAAAATCAATTTAGTACTAAGAAGATGCTCCATCCATTATCTAACATTCATCATAATTCTCTGATATTTAACCTTCCCTCTAACTACTTGAAAGGAATATGACAGATAAGAAATATGAATGAGCAAGAGACAATAACCAAAAAGGGAAATTGTATGAAATCTTTAAACATTGATTACCACCAAAAAATAACATGGACCAGACCAACAAATGGATGGATTTTAGTTCCAATCATCATAGTCACACAAACACTCTGTTGTGAGCATTTACATGGGTCAAGCTGAAAATATTCCATCCTCCCTCTGAGGAGGAAACATCATTGGAATTATCTATTAAACAAGTGTTACAAGGTTCATCCACCAACTCTCCATTTGATTGCTTTGAGTTGCCATCTTCTTTGCCAGCTGTTATATTTGGATTCTTAGTTACCTCACAAAAAAAAAAGAGAGCATACAACCAGTTTACCTGAATGACAGCCACTGCAACACCTAATCCAAAGATTATAAGCAGGTTTCCTCTGAGTAAGTCAAGTGTCTTGTCATAACAACCCTGAATAACAGGAAATCACTTCAGTTATATTTTCAGTGGCTACCATAAATAGCAGATCACATACAGATAAGATTTTGGAAAGTATCTACAAAATAGAAAGTTCCTTTCATGATGATTTACTTTCTGGTTTTGTAAAATTTCTGTCTTATTAACTTGTTTCCTCTATTTTTGCAACCTCAAGTGGCCATGAACTAAATATTAGTAATAAAAAGTAAAATGCAGTTACCCCTATGTTGATTTTTTCTGTGCCAGCTGATATGTCTCCACATCCTTGTTTGACTTCTTTGCAACAGCTTTCAGGAACTATACTGTGGTTCCCATGTGTGAAAGGTGTTTTCCGCCAATCCTTGTATCCATACACGCCACAGCATTTCTCCTGCATTCACAACACAACTGTGTCAATCTTTAGGGTAAGAGATAAGAAATTTTCATCTTTCTCCTAGATATCACAAAATCATTGCATTGGATTTGCTCAATCTACTGTTAGTCCTCAACATGGCCCCATACAAATTTGAAAAAAAGAAAGAATTACCATCACAATTTGCAAGGGGAGTTATCTAATTGCTCTTGACAAATAAATGTTCAACAACATCTATTTGAGCTTATCACATGAATTTCAGGATTTTTTGGTGTAAAATCCTCTACCCTCAAACCATCCTTCGGATATTGTAGCTTAAGATCAATGACCATGACAGCAATGTGAAAGTAAAGGGTCGCTTAGTGAACATGCTGAACTCCAAATCTATATAGGTTTAGTTGAGTCTTGGATGGCTAATTGTGTTTTCTGCTGTGTTCTTATGCAAAACACTACCCCACAGTGTGTCCCTCCACCCAGGAGTATAAGTAGTTACCATATAATCTTAACAGAAAATGGAGACAAAGCTGGAAAGAGTTTTAGCTAAAAGGAACTAGCATTCTATCTTGGAGGGAGTTAGGTCACTTCATGCTGAGTAAAAGGGGCAAATTCTGGCAGTTATGGACCACTAGGGTCCTAACCTTTCACCTTAACCTTAATGAGATGCAGATAAGTTTAACACACCTTTTCCTGCAGAAGATCATAAGCCTTTGTAACTCCTTTTTTGTCATCAGAACCATACTGATACAGTGTCTGATTCAGATCCTTCTTTAACTCATCTTTCACCTGTAAAATTAAGAATTTAATTTATTAATCATTTCCTTTCCCATAAATGTTGGAAATGAGGATTTGAACCCCCACCAATTCTGATTTCATTTGTAGATGTCCAACAAAGTGAGCTTGAGATAAGCTGTTGAAAATCAGACTTTATTAATTCAAACATAAAACCCATACATTGTAATTATTGATTAACTACACTGTAATTAAACATCCATATCACTCACACAGTTTTCCCTAAACTCTCTTTCAAGTTTGATGAGCAATTTGCTTTTACAAACTATTATTTGTGCTATGTGAAACAATATTTAACCAATCTTTAGTTAGATTTATAAAATATCAAAAATACCTGATCTCGGTACACAAAACCCAATGATGTCCCTGCAACTTCCAAGCCAAAGACCAATAACATCAAGGCAAAAAACTACGCAGGAAAAAAAAAGTTATTCCTCATTATTCAAAACTGCAATATTATTCCTTCAACATGATGCCCTACCATGGTTCAAAGAATGGAACCATGAATGCCAGTTACTATGAGAAAATTCAGAGACAATTTTACAATTTCAACTCACTGTTCCAAGAAGACACCTGCTTTCCTTGATAGACCCACAACAGCCAAAGAATGCAATCACAGCAATAATTGCACCAACAGCAATGATGATGATGGATCCTGTAACATATTTCACAGAGGAAAGTGCCACATAATCTCCAATCTTTAGCTGAACATAGATTCCCACTCCAAGCAAGCCAATACCTCCCAGCTAAGAAAAACATCAACTTTAAAATTACATTTGATTTGAAATTGATTGTTCATCCTCTATTAAGTGGTTTGTTTAGTTTATGAAAAACACCATCACAAACATTTGAAGGAATCCTATAGTAGCCTGTTGATTAAATGGATGATTTAAATTAGGTCTTGAGCGACTGTATTTCTTTCTAATTCTAAGATTTTGCTGATCTCCAGCATCATCACATTCCCTGATGATGCTACAGATCGTTGAAAGCGTGGAATAAAAAGAAATTCATTAGATCAAGGCCTCAGTTGGTTTGTCCTTACAAAGAATATGAAGTTGAAGACAAATAACAAGACTTTGATGATCTTTGCTGCTCCTTCCACAGCCATCACTGTTTCACTATGTCAAATGGGGTTTCTAAAAGTAAAGCAGAAAGGCTTCAGAGAGTATGGATGGATCAAACAGGTACATTCTGTACTTGCATGCACCTTGAAGGTAGATTCATGTTGTAATATCACCCCACATCCATTTAAGATCACTTAAAGTGCTTAAGTAATGTTGAACATGCTTGCCAGTAGGTATTAAATAATGCAACCAAATGAGCTTGCTAGCCAATATTCACCTATTTCATTTTGAATAGTTAGTTTGCATGTTTGAAAAAAATTTCTTTAAAGAAAGTGCTGTGCCACCTTATCTTTGAGCAAAATTAGAAGAGCTCTGAACCTGTCTCCAAATAAAGTCACCCTTACCATCTGTAAATAAACAGATCCACGTCAATTCAACTAGGGCAACCCAATCTTTTGGGGAAAATCACAGAAAACACTAACCCACAAGAAAAGAAAGCAATCAAAGTTCAGTCAGTAAAAACAAATAAACTGCTTGGAGAACATGAAAGTGCAAGTTACTAAGTAGCAGTTGATTAGTGAGGAGATGGTTCAAGGTTTTTAAGACCAATCACAGGAGTATAGTGGAGAAACCAAATCACTTCCTGATTTACTTTGGACACTCAATTAAACATTTTTATTTCATTTACACTGTAGAGGAGACTTTGATGTTAGATCCAAAGAAATACAGCCAAACCTCAATTAGTCGAACCACTATTACCTGGATTTTTCAAATATTCAGACTTGCTTATCTGGTCCCATTATGTTTGAACATTTATATTCATATTTTGATTATCTGGACTCTTGATTATCCCAACTTTTAAGCCCAGTCCCCACAAGTCCACATAATTGAGGTTCAACTGTGATAATTTCTCTTTTCTCATTACATGCTTGCTGGATAATGTATATATGTTCTTTGGAGAAGTTACTCACTAATCAATTGTTGGCAGTCACTGGGTTAAGAAGGTTTAGAACAATGTGTACAGTAGACATGTAATGCAATTGTTCTAGTATCACAGTCCTGTAAGAGTAAAATAATAGTCCAGATTTTTTCCCCTTTAGTTATAGACTTCAGTTGATCTTATTATAAAACAGAACTTTGCTTAGTTTTTGTTTTTGATTGAAGTTTGTTCATGTACACCCCAGCAAAATTTACATTGTGGCTGAAAAATAACAGACAACATCAAAATTGATAAGAACAAAAAAGTGGCATAAGATGGACAGCCAAGTGTGCCACTGAAGATGTTTCCACATTTTGATGCCTTCTGCAACCTTCTGTTAAACAAACCCAAGGCAACATGAAATCTACTTGTTTTACATAATAAAGAAGAAAAGATTTTGTTGATAGTGGTATCATCTACACATCTGTTCTCCCAAAAATATGAGTAAGAACCAATCAAAATTTGATATAATTCAGCTTCAAATAAGAATCTTAATAATTGTTTATAGCAATGACATCATTTTGAAAAATATAGGGTGAGGCAGTGAGGACCAGCTTTAGTAAGCAGATGTGCCAAATCCATAACCGTTTGTATAAAGTTTGCTCTCTTTTCTACAATATTTGAAATTTCAGTGTTTTTTGTATAGCTGTTATTGGATTTTGGTGAAAACTGTATGCAAATTGCAAAAGTTAGGAAGCAATGATTAATTATTTATGGCAGTAAAACCAGAGAATGTTCCCATTAAGTTAATGACACTTTTAGAAAAAGAAAATTCTAACCCACAAGGCAATTGAAAGTTTAAATAACAAAAAGAGGACGCAGCTATTTGATTCGAGAAAAACTTCATCTTATACCATGCTGTGAAAATACATTAAAAAACACCTGCATACTCTATTACTTTGGAAACCAGTCATGGAATTTTACCTCACAAGGGTTTAGTAGTTGGGTCCACTAGATCTGCTAATCCGATAAGCTCACTAAATCCGAGAAATTTCGATTCAGTTTGTTCAAAATAAGGATATCAAAGATATCGCTTTCAAATGAAATTTTTGTCATTTTCGTTAGTCCTCAAAATGTGAGCATCATCTCCCTATAATGAAACCCAAACATATGCCCAAGTTGGGCATAAAACTTACAGTTCTAGTGTAGTTTTCTAAATTTAAACACAATCGTCGTAAGCATTTAACGGTTGAAAACAACTACAAGTTTGCAATTAGCTAAAGAGTATTGACTGTCAAAACGAACTTTAACTTTGTGCTCTAGCGAATTGTCAGTGGAAAATGAATCCTTTTCAAATGTTAAGGAAACCACCGCGATTGCAGAATACGACCTAAGAACACGCTGATACGGATAATATTCGAAGGTTTTCCGATGAAGAAATAGATTTGAAATATTTATCGATGGAGAAAAGAGTTCAAGGCTGCATTAGAGGCTTTTAACGGCACTTGAATAAGTAAACCTGTACTACTTTTCGGTATCACCAGTCCAATAAACATTTAACTAATGTGCGCAAACCTGCCCAAGCTTGCAAATTTCCAATTACTTAAGACAATTCAAAATCAGGAAAATGTCATACTGAGTTTCGAAAAACAGAGAAAAGCAGGATATATCGACATAATACGATTAACTGCAACCTTACCTCCGGTTCTTCTCGTCACGAATCTCCAAGTCCCAGTTATAAGGAGAGCGACAAGATTCACTATCACGTGACCTCTGCGACTCGCCGTTTAGTAGGCAGCTGCTTTTCAGGGTTTGTGGGAGTACCCCATCCTTTTGTTTATCTCCTTTAACGAAGAAGGTCATTCCCCCCAAGGATAATTGTTTCCAATTTAGAGACCCCCTATGAATGTAAGTTGTATTGACATATCTTAAAAAGAAATTTCGTTGGAAAAAAAAACAAACAAACAAACAAACAAAACACTAACAACAACATCAACAACCGCAAAAACAACTCATGCACACAGTCAGGAGCATATGCTACCGACACAGAACAAAACACAACTAAAACGAAAAAGTTAATAAAAAATTTTCATTCGCTTTCTCTTGACTTGCACCTTTATCTTTCTTGAGTCCGTTTAAAGCACGCCATCGCCAGTTTTCCTTGCCTTTAAGAAACCTCAACCTTCAACTCAACTGATCAATAAAATCCTTTCTTTATGATACACTATTCGTGCTGATTTCTGTCTCAAAAATTAAATATTCTTACAGTGACAAAAACTTAATTTTTAATTCAAACCTATTCTCTATTCGCGAAACTTTCCGTCTCTAGATCTTTTAACATTGAACCCTTAAGTTTTAATACTCGGCTTACGCGTTTAGACATGTGGGGCCGGTGATTTGATCAAACGAAGTTTAGCCGTTGTTTAACAAAACCGCGGTCGAAGCCATCTTCAGTTTAGCTGGACCTTTTATCTGAACATTTATTTTTGGACTTTTTGCGAAAAGTATCGAGAGGGCCGAAAGCTAATAATGGAAGAACATTTATTTCGTTAAATCAACCCTCTTTTAGAGAATCCCTGTGGCCCACTGCATACGTCAAACCGCGGTTTGGGTTAAACCAGCCCATGGGTTAGACCAACAGGGGGAAAAAAATTACTTTCACGGGTGGTAAGAGTCGATCAGGGCTATGATTCCACCCTTTCAAATTGGCGTGCCGGTAGCATCGCCTAGAAGCTACCAGAAGGAAAACTTCTTGTGGTATTTTCACGAAGCCAAAAGTTTTTAATCAGAAAAGACTTCAAGAAGATTCCTTTTAGCTGATGGTCCCGATCAATCTGACTTTATACGTGTAATTTATCACGAAATGACGCAGGTAAAGAACCAGCGTGCTGTATCTCATTCATTCATTGCATCATCCTCTGATATTACAGGTCACGTCTGGAAATATAAACAGGATAATGATTCATCGTGTTTAGAACCTGAGAGAATACAGCGGATGAAACTACAAACACACTATGGACTTGATTGAGAAACACGAATTTACCAAGAAGACTCAATTTCCTACAAGAAGGTCAAGTGACATTTTGCCCCGACGATCAGTAAATACTTTGTGGCATCGTAGTCCCGAAAAAATCGCTCGTAGACTTGCTCAAGCTTGCGAAAACAGTGTAGAAGTAACATATTGTCAAACAAAAATTGAAGGAGACTTTACCAGCAAAGAAATATGTTGGATCAAATGGTGGTGACATTAATGGAAGGCGCCTTTGTATGCGTCGGATTTCCTTATGTCGCAAAATTGTGCAGAAACGTGTTAGATTCGTTGCTCAAAGGTAGGCTCAAATCACTTTTTTCTTTCTTTCTTTGGACCTTTCTCTTTCGCATGGATTAAACAACAAGGAGAAGCAGGAATTTTTTCTTTTTTTCCATTAATGCAGATAAAAGTACCCAGTCGGGTAAATATGTAAAAACATATATATTTGAAATTTCACATAACCATGCCATGTTTAAAAATTTCTCGGAAATGGAGGAAGCAGTTTGCAGCATAACGGTCGAATTACATCATACTTTTTCGGTATAAAATACAATATTCAAAGCTCATGAAAGTCGAACATTTTGAGATCCTTTGTAACTGGTCACTTTGCCGATCTATGCTTGGTCAGGTTCTAACAGACCACAACAGTGCATGACTATAAGTGATACTAGAGGAGGCTGCCCTTCCCTCCCCCATGTTTGCCACTCTAAAGCAAAAAGGTCAACGACTGCAATCCCGGTTCTTGTTGCATAAGTTCCTTGTTTTGTTCTGATTTTGATGAGTGATGAAACTTGTGTTGCCAAGGAAGCCAGTTTACAGAGAAATAATTTTAAGACCCTGATGAGACAGAATTCATCAAACAGTTACTTGTTATGACTGCTGATGAATATAATGGTTACTATATTCCTTTGGAGGTATCAGCCAAATTTGAATTTTGGATAATGATAATATTGATTATGATAATTTCATAAACTTCCTCCTATTTTTTTCAGGACCATACTTGCCTTTTTGCAGACCTGCAGTACAAAACAAGGTTCCCCACCAAAACACAACTGAAAGGATGGGGGTAACTGGTCAAGTTTTATCTACTAATGTGCTCATTGGTTTGAAACCACAAACAGAAAACTATATATCTCCACTACATTTTCAAAGCTGTTGGCAATTCTATCCAAATCACTCTGGAACAAACACACTGCAAACATTTTGGGGTAGTAGTATTGGTGAAACAAAGTTGGAAAACTCTACCCAGGTTATGCAGCACAGGTCAAAGAATTGTGAGGGAATGAACATGGCTGCCTACCAACTGAACAGGCCCAAAGATTTTTATGGTCATTTCAGATCATCCTCTGGTTTTCCAGCTTGTCTTGAAAGTGAACAGCATTGCAACCCGATGGAGATTTCACACAATGTCATGCAGGATGACATTTTAAAAAAGGACTGTAATGAGGCTCAAACAGAGAGGGGATGCAGTGTGGTATCATTCTTGATGTTCCCTGATGCAAAATGTAAGGATGATGATGACAAAGACCAACTAGATTTACCTGTCAATGACTGTGTCTACAATGCAGATGGTCAGCTTGTACGCATGTTTATTTGTTTTGGTACTGAGCAGTCTGATACATCAAGTGTTGCACTTTCAAGTGATTCTGGCTGTACTGACTGGGACTCTGACTCTGAGGATTTTATAATATTTGACAATTCATTTACAGGTGAAGGCAACTGTTGTACAAGGATTGATTTTGTTTGTGGACAGCATGAACTTCCCAAAGAGGGTGAAACAAAATCTGTGCTTCAGTCACCGAGAATGTACTGTGAAGTTTCAGTAGTGGAATCAGTTGATATAAAATTGGATTTCCTTATTCAAGAAATGGTGCCACCTAACTTGCATTATGCCTCTGAGAAGTTGACTTCCCAAAGAGAAAGTTGTGAAGAAACAGAGATGAAGAGCAACAAGGATTTCATTTCCAGGAACATTCCTGGTCAAACTGTGTCTGACAATAAAAAGAAAAAGAAAGTTTGCTTTAAACCTGATGATGAACTCACTGTCACTCATCCAATGATTGTCTGGAGCTTTGCTTACAAACAGGCTCGTAAAGGAACCTGGGAGACGGAACAACTGGACCGACTTCGTTTTCAGAAGAGAATTAAGGAACTTGATAAAATTTTAACTCCTGTTTTGCTGGCAAAGATAGGAAATGCTGTTTAATCTTTATAGTCACAGTTTGTAGTGCTTACAAAATAACTACTTGTGCATTTCATACATTTTGATAGGAACTATGGACGCTGTAATAAATTATTAAGTATAATATATTAAGTATCTGATTTGTTAGTGCATGCAAGATTCAATTTTTTTATTCTGTTGACCTATTTTAAGAATCAGCAGTGCTGATTAAGTTATCATCAATTCATGCAATGTGTTTTGATGCTGCTGTAATAATTATCAAATCTTATTTTCTCAAAAAAGAAATGTTGTAGACAGTTAATAACCAATTGTTAAACCATTCGATGAATCATAATACAAAGGGAGTTGGATGAGTTGGAGTTGGACGAGTTGCAATGAATGAAACAATTATTTAAGCAGTAGCAGATTGTTTGTTTTTGTTTTTGAATGAACTTGAAAAACTGTGATGAAGTAACAGAAGCTATTTTTTAAAGATAATATCCATTGAAAAAAGCCAATTTCTTTGTTATTTAAAAGGTGTTCTATGTTCCCCATTATATTAGGATGAAATTTTGTGGCAAAATAAGGCAATTAGATAATTATTATTTTTACTGAACTTTAAATTTCAGTGAAAATTTCTTTAAGGCATTACTGACTTTGTTAAGGTTTCACATGTTTGTTAGGATCTTTGAATGAATACTATAAAGAGGGTAGCAAAGGGGGTGGGAGGTCCTGATTCTGTTTCTTGTGCAAATTTTAGAAAAATTCATGCATTACATATTTAGAAGGGAAAACTTGAAATCTCTCTCCTTTTGAACAAGGTTTCAGGGAAATCTTGACTTTTTCACAAAATAGAGAAAAATTCACTGGTCACATATTTTAAGAGGCAAATCACACCATGTTAATTCTAAAATTCAGTTAATTTTAAAATTTGCATGTCACTCATTAAATTTTACTCTAGTCACATGTAAACCCTTTACCTTCCTCAGTTAACTGTAATTTGAAAATGCAACTCTAATCATACTGAAATTTAATACAGTCATGCAGCATTGTAAGAATAGACATTTTTTGAGGTTTTTGAAATTAGTTGCACTTCATTTTGCTTGAGGCTTACTTTGGAGCATGGTGTATTTTGTAATACATGCTAAATGAAGGTTACACACAGTCTTAACCATAAGACACAGTGGAGTACAGTCACTTAAAACTTTTTCACAACTTACCTTGCTTATATCCAATCCATCAATATCAAGATTGTTTTTCTGGAAATTCCATTTACTTCAGGTTTTTAATGTGAATCAGTAAATTTCATTATTTTTAGAGTTTTAACCAAAAAAAAAGATTTTATTCGTTTATCACCTGCTTATAGCAGATGATTTTGATTATGTAGCCAGAGTATTTTGGTAAGTAAGACTTGGGATCAGTCCCAGTACGAAAGAGCCTGTGTTCACACAGCACTACATTTTGTCATTGATTTCGAGTGCACCTTGGCAAATTTTCCAGCCATTGATTGAGGTGAGAAAATCAAGGAAAAAGGAGACATTGAGTTGTATACAAGTAAACTTCTGGTATGCATGATTTATCCCATTTACCCTTTTAATATCTGTTATCAGTAATTCTCTATTTTTGCTTCCTTGCACTTCATTTTAAACTAGTAATAAGAATGACCTATTGAGAAAACAAAGTACCCACTGGCTGATGAATTGGTTGATTCTCATCACCTGTTTGTTGGACAACGTTTCAATTTTGTAACAAGAAATCAAGTATTGGTTACAATTGGGAATGGGGGGGGATGGTTCACATTCTTCGAGAGTTAGCTACTTATTTTCAAAGCACCATAATTTAGCAGTTGGCTGAATGTTTAATTATCGGTGCAATACTTTAATCATTTTTGTTATTTAGAGGATTCAATTAATCTTAACAAGGCAGAGTTTCTTTTTGTTTTTTGCTTTCATTTTTGGGTGGGGGAGGCTGTTAATTTTGACTTTACCTGTTGCATATGCATCAGTTGCAAGTTGCTTTTGAATTTGTTGTATGTCTTGGTGTGGGCTGTATGTCTTGGCATGGGATGTATGCTGATGAATTCATTTTTGGATCATTAAATTTCAATCATGGATAAATCTGAACCCAGGTTGTTATAGTGAATGAAAATTAAATCTGATAGATCTTGGGAAGTATTGGAATTCTGGACGTTTTTCACTAAATTCCAATCAAATTATGGTGTAGGAGGCATCCATGTGAGCACTTTGTGTAAATAGGGAGTCTTTTATTTCTCTTAACCCTGGGGCAGTTTAAGGTCAGAGATGGGCGTTGCAAAATATAGATATCGGAACTGCTGGAATATTTTTGAAAAGGTTGGTAAATAAAATATTGGTCAGTATTTAGAGATGGGCGTAACATTGCATGCCGAAATACCCACACCCATACCCTCAGGGACTATTTATTAGTTACCAGTCCCTCACTCATTAGTTTGGACATTTACATTTGGCGCCCGCGTGCATAAACATTTGAAATGACAGACGGAGTAGCACCATGGAATTTGTGAAGTTCCCGTGAGGTTATTGCTGTTTTCATTTGGATTCTTCAGTAACTAGACTGTCAAGATACCAAGTGGACGATGGAAGTCAAGTTTGACTGCTTGTTTACTTTTCAAAACACTTTTGATATCGAGTATTGTGGCAAGGATAGGGTTTTTTTCAGATAGTATGCTGACCGCTGGTATGGGATTTGTGAAAATTCGGACCATAGCAGTTTTGTTATCGCTGTCTTTAAGTTCGTCGTTTGTATTATGGTGGATAACACCTCCGGACTACTCCATGAAAGGTAAAATATTAATTCACTTGTCGAATTTCTTGATGTAAGTCCTCTTCAAGGGGCAGTGTGTGGTAAAAAGCGTACACATTTAGCGAGATTCGATCTCCACCTGAACTTTATTACAACTTTTCTTTAAACTATATTTACACTTGCCACTTACGCAATAGTTTGAAACATAACTTAAGAGTTGGGCATGTATGGAACAAACCTTCGAAAATTTAAAAATACGTGGCAAGTATGGGGAAAGCCTGTTTGCCTGTTGTGAAATATATTATTACTATCAAAATGTCCAGAGTTTTTGTGTCTACATGTATGTGAAAATATCTCCATGAATGTGAAAATATCAAGAATATTATTGTATTATTTTATTCCGGTTCGGTCTTTTCTCAACTGATACCACTCAGCTAATTTAGAAGTTGTTTTCAAAGAGATGCTTATCGTCTCTTATTCAAAACAAAGGCGTTATTTTCATTAAATGAAAATTGTATGTCGTATTTGCGGTAACATTTGGAAAATGTCTATCAGAAGGTATGGCCATCTGCGCAAAACTTTGTTAAAAAAATATTACACGAAATTATTAATTGTTTTATGCTTTTTACAACGTTTTTTTTCGTAGGCTAAACAGAACATTCCAGAACTATTTTTCTTTGTAGACGACTGAACATTTTCTTTCCTTGGCACTGTATTTTAATTATTTTGAGTGTCTTTCAGAAGGTCTTCCCCATCAACATTAATAATGATTGTTATTGTCTCGTCTTTTTGTGCGAAGCTAATAAAGAGATGTAATCTGTTCGTATCAAGTTTACGTTGATTAAAATCAAGGGAATGCCTTAGATTTAACGGAAGACAATTTTTCCACTCTCAGAAATGATATTGTTGTTCCACTTCAATACATGTAGATTCTGTTATTGAATTGATCCATTTACCGGTAAATTCTCATTGAAACTTCGAAGACGCAGCTGACAAAACTATTTACAGCAATAAATTACTTGTCTGTGAGAAGTATGCTTTTCCACTGTTTCTTTAGTCTTGAAAAGAAAAATATTTACTTGAAGTGGGCAATGGCCTCTCTGTTTTCCAAACTTAAATGTATGAATGCAGAATTATTGTTATACATGGCAAGGAATGATAACTTTTATCAGTGAAGCAAGCATAGTTCATTAAGGAGGAATTGATTGACATCTATTAGATTTATATCCAGAAGCTTCATTATGGGTTTTGAAGAGGCCTTGGATAGACAAAATGTTCTTTGAACACCCAGCAGAGTCAATTAAAATGCTGATAACAAGATTTCTGATTACCACATTGTGCAATTAAAGTCTACAATAATTGTACATGAAGTGAAGTGTGTGCATGCCTCCTATAAAGTGTTGCAGTTTGTCAACTTGGTTTCTCTCTTTAATATCAGTTTTTTTTTTCATTTAGAAGTGGAATAAACTGAACAATTATTTTAATGGTGTATTATTTAAGGGAAATCCTTTGGGTTTAAAGCAGCCGTGAATGTCTTGTAGTGATTTGGGTAACAGTCTTGTGACATTGTTGATTGACATGATACATCTTTTTTCAAGCAAATGTTAATTCCAGTTTTCTTTATTGCTTTTAAAATTGGAAACCAAATGTTGAATAGTCTTTCCTAATGAGAATTTCTGTTAAAAAATGATGGAATGAGAGGTTATTTCTGGAAACTTTGAGGCATCAACAGTCATATTTTGTATTGCTTTTAAAATTACAAACCAAATGGAATTATCTTTCCAATTGAAAAATTTCTTTTAAAAATTGAAGAGTAAGGGGAGTTATTTCTGGAAACTTTGATGCATCAACAGTTCCTATTTTTAGTGCATTATCATGTTTGGTTGAAGTGAGTTCTACGTATGTCGTCAAGTCTTATTTTACAACAAATGGAACTTTCCTGATATTAGACATCATAACCTCAACTTACCTAGTATTAGGAAACAGGTACCCAGACTCTATGAGAGCTATAATTTCAGTATGGTTTTTATGCAGTAAAATATGATGATAAACAAAATTTATCCTGAGATGCAAACAGTACCTTTTTGTGAATAAAAATGACTTACTTTGTGTATTTTTCATGTTTGTTACTTTTTGTTCATAGAGTCATGTCAAAGCTTCATGTACTTTGGCAAGTTTTAGCAAGTTTTACTGCAAGTTGTACTGCCAAATTACCAATGATGAAAAGCAAATTATCAATAATGAAAAGCTAGCGAACCCAACTGTCTGAGCTGGAAGTTTTATTGATCTAAGAAAAATGGTTTAAACTTAAGGAAATTGTTAATTGATTTTTGGATCTGAGAATCATAGGCATTTTAGTTCAATTCTTCTTGAGGTCTAGGATTCATTTTACAGTAAGTGTTTATGAGTTACTTTTCAGGTTTATATGGTTGGCTTATGATTGCCTATAATTTGCCCCAAAATGGCTTTCACAATGTCTTCAGATTTGAACACAGTAAGAACACAGAATTAGTCATTTCTCCTTAATCTCTCAAAAGGTATAATTTTGGGACTGTTTGATTCATTCCCAATCCCATAGATTCTGGGTTACCAGTGGTGATTGTTGTATGTTTTTTTAATTGTATTCAGATTAAGAGCAGTTTAATAGTATTTTCAGATAAGAAAATGTTGACATGGATACCAGTAGGGTTATTTCTAGATGATTGTTTTATTACTCTTCTTTAGTTGTGGTTATCTTTAATTCAAGTATGATATAATGAGAAGTCTGTCTTCAACAGAAAGGGAAACTTCACCACTGATATCAGGCAGAAGGCAGGCTTTCTTAAAAGAGTTTGAAAGAGTTCAGACAGAAAACACAGAATTAAAGAGACAACTTAAACTGGTGCGACAAAGATTAAAAGACCTGTATGAGAGGGATAGCCGCAACCAACAAGGTAGGTTGACATTGGATTCTTGGGAAAGCTGAAATAAAGGTAAACAGTGAGTATGAATATGATGATATTTTTATGTAAAAAGAGTAGGAAAGATGCACTTAACTTTTGGATATTTAACCTTGAATACCAAGTTGCATTCAGCTTCCTTTTGTATATGTACCAAAGACCTGCCTGATAATCCTTGCTGTAACTAAGTCAAAAGAACTGCAGTTTGCCTGGTTCCTTTTATTTAATTAATTTCAGATCACATTTAAAGATTGTAAGGTTACTTAATATGATTATGATTTTTATAACTATAGTAATGATGTTAATTACTGCTATTATTATCATAATTGGTACCTTTATGATGCACCTCTTTTCTTTCTTTCAGCATCACAAGGAAACAAGTCAACTGCATGTGTGAATGACCTTTTCCTTTATCGTTGTGAGGTATGATACGCTACTACTTAGTGCTTTAAACTGCAATCATTGTTCATCCTAGTAAGATGAAAAAAAAGAGATTGTCTAAACTGGAAGAAAAAGCTGCCAATTTAGTGACCTGTGGTCATTTGGCCAGCTAGAATGTATTTAGTACCTAGGTCATTGATCTGAAATTGAAGTGAGATGCACATCTGTATACAATATTTACTCTGTTGACGCCATTGTTGAAACATTGCCCCATTACACTGAAATCACCACACAGCAGATACTCAGTACGTGTATGTATGTTATAGTTTTTAATGATTTCAAGGAAAAAAATTAATTCAAAATAACTATTTTCTATGCTTTTTGAGAATAATAATATTTTGTTTTTATCCTACTAACAACATGAACTTATATATGTAGTTGTTTTGCTGACTGTAACCCCTATTCAAAAGTATTATTTCCTTTCACAGGTTATACATATTGCAGTGGTCTGTGCAGGTCATGGTGCAAGTCGCCAAGTAGTCACTCTTATTAAGTCTATTCTGTTTCACCGCCGCAATCCACTTCACTTCCATTTCATATCAGATAGCATAGGACAGGAGATTTTGAGTGTCCTTTTTCAGACATGGGCTATTCCAGCAGGTACCACATTTATATTTCTCTGTATATATCTTGGGTCAATTGCTATAACTGACTAATCTAGGTTTGCAATTGAGAAACTAAGTCTATTTACACAATTATGTATCCTGAATGTTTGGGAGAAAATGAAAAAAGTTTCATACTGGGTGCAGATCAATAGTAAGCCTGAATTACGTCAAGTTGCCTACAGACTAACCTGCCCAAACTTAAAATTACTTCTCTATTGCCTTAAAATTAGTGTTTATTACTGCAAAGATCCTTCTCATATCCATTTATTAATGCACAGTTCATATATATGATTTTCATGTATTGACAGATATTAACAAACCAATGAAAGTGTTTGCCAAACAGCATGCATCACTAAGATCCTGAGATCTAGATCCCCGAACAATTGCTTTGATTCTTTGGCTTAAGATATAACACAGCGTACACCACAACAAGAAAATGTAACATTTAAACAAAAGAAAAACTTTCTTGCTGAAGAATTAGTACACAATTCTGTAGTGTAATAAGTGTCACAAAGGTGTTGGAAGGTGTTCAAAGCATCTATTAAAAGTGTTTGTATGTGAGCGTATGCTGGTTTGTACTGCAATAGTCTAAATTAAGTCAACAGTCTAAAGTCAACAAAATGTTGTTGACACTTCAATTATTAAATTTATCATTATATAAAACATCAAACCTAAGTTTAAACAAGATTAAATCTGTAATGAGCTTACTGAAGTGATTTTATACATGGGCAAGTTGATGTGGGGGAGTTGGTCCATGGGTGAGTTGGTTGGATTCTGTCACCCTACATGTACACACTGTAGCATATAAATTGGTGATAAAAGAATAAAAGACGAAAAACATCTTTCTTAATTCTTTACTGAGCTTAAAACTTATCATCTCTACTATTTCTATCTACAAACATTACGCTATTGACATTGCTGATACTAGCAGTATGCAGGACGTGTGCCATGTGAACTTCATAATAAACCTCGCTCACCTTAGAGTCTCTGTGGCTCAGTGGTAGAGCATTGGAGTGTAAATCCGAAAGTCTGAGGTTCAATTGCTCATGGGGACTCAGAATTTTTTCTTTGTCCCATGCTTGTGACAAGATGAAAAACATCTTTCTCAAATTGGTGATACTTATACCAAACAAAAAGAAGTAAAAAACTGAGTTGGCTACCTTTTTGTTAGTTTTTGTCATATAGGAGTTTGGCTTTGTTTTTTTTAATGATTTCATTTCGGTTATCACAGAAATATTGTGAAACCAGTAGAATAAAGTTGACAATCTGTAAATGCATTTCAGCATGGTGATGATTAATTTACTTTTTTTCTTTCTTTTTACAGTTGATACTAGTTTTTATAGCACTGATTCAATAAAGGTAAGAGGCAGACAATTTCATAAAATTTAATAGTGACTGCTTCTATCAATTGAAAGTGTGTATTGCCAATATACCTTTAAAAAATTGTCCAAATAGCAAGTGCTAACTTGATCTTTTGGTGAATTTATGTCAACAAGAGTAACTGTTATTGGTAATCATGACTGACACTTTGGCAGCTTGTCCAGGTAAAAGGCATCATCAGAGGGCAAAGTTGCTTTTTTTCTGACTTGTTATACTTTATGGGGCTCAAAAGGGTTTTTATGCAAGGGGAGAATGGATCCAAATAAATGTAACCCATGCTTGATCCTCCCCCAAAATTTTGTTGCCTGAGTTGTAAACAATAAGGCAGCCCCAAATAAATTCAAATGAACAAGGCTGAACTTATTTGTTTCCAAAAGTTGAACATGGCCATTTGTGCAGTAAAAAGGGAAATATTACTTATAAAAAGAGCTTTGAGAAAAGTGAAAGTTTGGCCAACAAAGAAAGGCAAAAAAACTTTGGGAGAGTGAAGACTCAACAATGGTGCACTTGCGATTGAGGATTGTACAAATTTACATCTATGCTTCACATGGAGTTAAGTTTTTCTGACAGGTGCAAGGTTATCAAATTAGCTCAGAGATATCTTTCAAAAACTGAGTTTTGGAAGGTCTCCAAACACTGCTGCATTGTTGCTATGGCAACAGATGAGGTCTCAAAAACATGCTTAAAAAATTACTCAACAATAGTTTTATTTAAGTGTTGAAAAATTTTCCTGATGATGAGATTGATAGTCTTGTAATCTTTAGTTAGAAGACTCTAAGACTTTGATGGCAGAAAATGTCACTTTCAAGCCTCTTTAAGTCATGGTTCACAAAGAATGATTGTTCAGTTTTGCCATAATTTTATTAGCTGTAAAATTACAGGTAGCTTATGTCAGTTGTGATTCTCAACTAGTGGTTAAGATTATAAAATGACAGCCAATTGCTCTCTTGTGTAAACCATGTGCTATAAATGTCCATTATTACAAGCTACATGTCCACTAAGTAGCTGATGGAAGAGTTCACTTTGAAACAGCTCAATAAAAACAGAGAGATATGCAGAGTAAGAAAATTAAGCCCTTAAATTGTGAGTTTGTTCAGAATCTATTATTGGAACTTCAGATCTCTTCCTTTCTAAAGCTGTGCATGTCAGGAATGTTTTCTTAAGGATCATTTTTGTATCAAGTATTTTTTTTTCAAAAGCAGTGTATTTATGGAGTTATGATTGCAATTTTTTGTTACAGGATAAAGTGTCTTGGATACCTAATAAACATTATTCTGGAATCTTTGGTTTAATGAAGTTGGTGTTAACTGAAGTTCTTCCACAATCGCTTGACAAGGTATGAAGTTAAACTTGTATTTATGTGGTTATCACCAAGTTAACTTTGTGTTTTAGGGAATTTAGGATTACCAGAGAGTGCTAATCAATTTGGTTTATGATTTTTTCCTTCTTAGTTATTTCACTTGACAAGTATTTTATGATCTTGGTTGTATTAAATAGAAAATAAGACATTCCTTTCACTTCAAGTTCTGAGGCCCCTATAAATGTAAGACTGAAATTTGTTATGCATAAGTTATTCCTGACAAAAATTAAATTAAAAGAAATGTCATATCAAGATTTGAGTTTGGATGGAAATAAAATATTTTTGAAGATGGGGGGGTGTTATTTGGCACTATTTGCAACCCCTACACATCTGGTGAGAGCAAAATTAACCTAACATATAAAAATAAAAACTGAGCATGGTAGAAATAACCCTACCACCTTGTTTAGTTATCACATTTATTATCTGAGATAAATTTTGTATTGTGTTTGTGCTGTCCTTATGGATGTTATATATCGCCACAGGTACTTGTTCTGGATACAGATGTCATATTTGCATCTGATGTGGCTGAACTGTGGAGAATGTTTGATCAACTTACAGGAAGAAAGGTCAGAATCAACATGGTGGTAATCTTTTGGATTTTATTGTTGGCCCATTTGTATTTTTTGTGTAATTTCTCTAAGGGAAATTGTTGTTATGGCATGTGCCCCTCTGTCCTATCTGTTGTGTATGGGTATGTTGCTGCCTCTTGAGTTTTGGGTGAACTGTGCCCATGAGTCACAATAATTTTAACAATTGAATAATGAAACTGATGTATTTATTTACTTTTTTCAACTTTTTTTTGCTTTCTTGATTTCTGTTAAGGCTATTGGTCTTGTAGACAACCAAAGTGATTGGTATCTTGGCAAATTATGGAAAAACCATAAACCCTGGCCTGCTTTGGTGAGTCTTTAAATTGTTTAAATTTAAAGCAGTGATGCTTTTTAACTGTCAGTTGTGAATGCTTTGGGAGCAGATGGTAGTATTATGGAATTGTTCACTGGTGAGGTGGAGAGATGTCCTGAAATGGAATGTTGGAAATGGTGTGGACAGATATTTGAAAACCCTAAAGGGATGTGCTGTAAAAGTAAGGTGTTTCCCAGTATAGCACAAAATAGTGATCTTGGTGGGTTTGAACTCATTCCTTTCCATCCAGAATCCAGTGTGCAAACCATTAGGTGACTGCATGAACCTTGGGCACAGGAATTTTAATTTTTATGCTTATTTATTTAGGGGAGAGGGTTCAACACAGGAGTTATACTTCTGGACCTGTTCAAGTTGCGCCAAGATAAGTGGACCAGTCTGTGGAGACTGACTGCTGAGAGGGAACTTATGAACATGCTGGCCACCTCTCTTGCAGATCAGGTGAGCCCATAATCCTTTCTTTTACAGTTACATGTGGCTATGTTGGACTGGTGGTTTTTTTTTTAGAATAAGAGAGTCAATTATTTCAACCTTTGGAAAATCACTCAAGGCTCTAATTGTGGACCTGACATCCAATTAGAGGTCCCTTTCCCCCCCCCCCCCCCCCAAAAAAAAAAAAACCAAAAAAAAAAACTATGACAGCTTAACATTTTACCTCTACAGTAAATGGCAAAAAATACTTTGGGGGAAGTTAGCTCATGTCTGACATGTACAAAATGGATCTTGAGGATCTCCTGGTAATTCCTGAATCACTATGTGGGATACCTGTGGCAGACCATGGCAAAAATTTGCTTGAGTGTTGTTGTCATCAGATATAGAAATTAGCCTCATGCCTATGCTTCTCACTGAAGTTAGGCTCAATGTTAAATGAATCCAAAATTTATATCCTTCCATAACTTATTAAGTAGATGTTTGTGTGTTTCTTTTGAAGGACATATTTAATGCAGTGATAAAGAGTAATCCCCATCTAGTGTTAAAACTGCCATGTACATGGAATGTTCAGCTTGGAGACAACACTCGCAGTGCTGTGAGTACTTTCCTTTTATGTCATCCAGTAATTAGTGTCATATGTCTGTATAGGTAGCTGTCACTACACATTTAGTGCAGCAACTGTATTAAGTACATGTAAACAAAGAAAATAGTCATCAGTTGATAGAGCTCTTATCAAATGGAACACTTTTTAAAGGCTCTGATAAACAAGCAGCAAATCACCAAATGCCATGTGGTAGGAGAACATAAGGCAGATATTTACAGATTGCAGATGAGACTACTGGTCAGGTTACAAGTCCTGCATTTTAACTGTGAAGCATGCTTACCCCTGCAGTTTGCAATATGTAGTGGTGAAATAAATGAGGCATCCTGTTGTAATTATGCCTCTAACAAAGTAAAAAAAGACACAAAAATACTAAGAATCATCTTCTTGTATACCATATTTACAGAACTGTTACAAGGATGTCTCTGAATTAAAGGTGAGCTGAAAGTTTCGTTTTTTTTTTCAAAATTGGCAGTTATGTATTGTATAGATATTCTTGTTAAAATAACCATGACACTAATTGACAAATCAAGTGCTATAAATATTTTTTAGAATTATTATAATAGTTTAATTTATTATTTGGTTTTTCTGATTTATTTCTGAGACAAATTTATTTACTCTCTCAATCTTGATTGAAATTTTATTTATCAGTGATTAGTTCTGCATGTGAGGGGGCCTCTTAATCTCTAGTCGAAGCACACATTTCTCAGCTCACAAAACCTCCCATAGAAAGCTGAGGCATTAAGTTTGTTTCCATATCACCATGTAGGTTATTCACTGGAACTCCCCGAAAAAGCAGCTTGTGAAGAACAAGTATGAAGAGTTTTTCAGGAACTTGTATTTGACTTTCTTGGAATATGATGGTAACTTTTTAAGGTAAATTAACAGATCTCATATCAAATTATATTACAAGAATCTGTGGGTACCAACAGAAGTGTCAGTGTTCTTAACTTGAACAAATAATGGTGATCCCCTAGAGCCCCATTTACTGAAAAGAAGGGGCACTGAAAGAACTTGAACAAGTCAAAAAGTTTTAGTTTTAACAGCATTCTGCAACTGGCAACAGAAAAATGTGAGCCACCAATCCAAAACATCAGTGCTTATTTGGGGGTTGATGGCAAGAAACTTCATTGATTAATGACTCACTATATAATCAAGAAGAATCAATGTTTCAATGATTAGAGATTTGTGACATCTACTGTTACTAGGCGATGGATATTCTCTTGTGATGAAAATGATACAAAGTTGAATAACACAACAGATGGAGCTAGGCAGCAGCCATCAGACAAGGTAACAGACAGTTATTTTTCTCTAGAGGGTTGTAGTGCTTTTCTAATAGACCATAAACACAAGGTTCTCAGGAGCAGTAGTGAACTATTGGTCAAGGGCAAATAAATGCAGTAGATGATCACAAGATGCTTAAGTATTGTAAACTCATTTACGTACAGCCATAGATTTACAAAATTTTAAGATTCTAGCCCTCTGAATATTTTTTAACTTGAAGTTATGTTACAATAATCATCAGTTAATGGAATTTCTTTTTCCTTTTTACTAAGATCATGTGACCTGGAAAAAGGTTCATACTGGTTTAATTGCTCTTACACAGTACACTCAAATTGTGTTAGGTGGCTAACAATCTTAAACTCATTCCCACATAACTGTGCGTTTTCATGGAAAATGACAGTTCATTCAGCTGAACTTCCATTGATTGAATACTTAGAGATTATTAATTTTATAAAAACAAACCCAGTAATCCAGTGGGTAAACAAAAATGTTTGTCATAATTGAACTTGGGTATTGCAAAATATTTTGCTTCTTAAGTGTCACACAGATCAGTTATCTTCCTCAGTCAATTTTGGCTTTGGCAAATAATCAGTTGCAATCAAAATATTTGGCTCAACCCTATCAAAATGTTCGTAGCTTGCATTTTTTTTTTCAAGTGGTAGCTTTCTAAAAAATGAAGTAAATTTTGCAAGGATGTTGATTTATCTCTTTAGATCTTTGATAACCTTAGTAGCCCTGAATTTGAGTGAGGCAATCCTTCATCTTATATGTATGGACATATAGATAATGATGTGTGCTGAAGGAAAAGTGTAAATTAATTGCTGTGTTTACATTCAGAGTGCAGGAAATGTGGACAGTGAGGATGCATGCTATGAATTTAAGCAAGAGCAAGATTTGACACACAGGACTCATCTATACTATCTTGATTATGATTTTTCACAGGTAAGCTGAATTGCACTTTTGTAAGCTTCAGATTGTTTGGTAAAATGGAGGTGAATTGCTCGATTTTTTTTTTTTTTTTGATGAGGGTGCAATCAGAAATAATTGAGTGGGATCATGTTTATTCTTATTCCTGAATGTTTTAAGGACCTTTTTGCTTTTCCTCAATTAGATAAGCAAGGGGAAGAAAAGAGTAATTTAAAGAAGATTTATTTATTGTTTTCTGTTATAAAAAAGAAGGAAATAAGTGATATATAAAGATTTAAGCTTGTCATATTGTTTATCGTAAATGGAACAAATAAGGCATGTAAGGTGTTATCATTTTTAAAACTGAATGACACCCTGTCTGCGAAAGTAGTAGGTTATCAACCTTTCAATTCACTTATCACATCCTGTTCACAATTATATAATCATGTTGATCTCTCTGAATAAAGCTCACTTCTGCATAACTGACTCTTGGTGTGTCTAATTGACAGGCTGTTGAGCCCTCAGATGTTACACTTGTAGTGCAGCTTTCCATTGACAGGCTACAGATGATTGAGACTATTTGTCTCCATTGGGAAGGTAAAAGTGAAAGTGAAAGTTGTCTCTCTTTCTGTGAAGGAAGTGTTACAGATTCTTTCAAAGACTTCAAGAAGAGCCAAAAACAAAATAGACACAGGAAAACATTAATTTTAATTAGTAATAAAGATAGCTAAATCATGTGATGGGTCAAATGGAAATCCATGGCAAGTTTGTTGGCTGATACAACAAATAAACTCTTAAGTGTTAAAAATAAAATGCAAAATTAAAATAGCTTTTCTTAGAAATAACACAGTAACTGTAACATTGTATTCCATTTACCTCTACTGTTCAATGTGCTGGACCAATATTGTCACTAAATATTTGATACCATTGTAACCAAAGTTTTGTTGGAAGATCTTGATACCATTCAAAAGATATCAATTCTTTCAACACTGCTTGGGACCTGACCATTTTATCCAATGCCCTGTTTCAGGTCCCATCAGTTTAGCTTTGTACATGTCTGACAGTGAGGCACAACAGTTCCTAAGCTATGTTCAGAGCTCAACTGAATTAGTGAAAAGAAAAAATGTAGGATATCACATTGTCTTCAGGGAAGGAGTAAGTAAATAATGTTCTGTTTGATTTTTTTCACCATAAACAGGTAATACCAGTTGCTTTTTCATTATTTTAAACTTGCAAAATTAATGGTGTTATATGCACTTTGATTTCTCAAATACCCTTGCACTGATATGCCCAAATGTTCCCATCAGGTCTGCTGGTTTTCAGTCTGATAAAACCTTCTAAAAGTTAGTGAGCTACAGACTCTTGTTTTCTCCCAAACAGAAAGTGGTATTCTCAAGTATTATTAACTATTATGACATAACTTAGACATAACATGTACTCTGATTGTTCAAAAATCTATTGAATATTTACCTGTATTCCCATAGAAAACTGAAACAGTGCCCACATTGGGCAAATTCTTTGATTTTAATTTGTTTAAACAGCTTCCTAGGCTTGCAGACTTTTAAAACTTTCCTTACAGATTATCAGATTGCAATTGCAGTGGTAGGCCAGTTCTGGTGACAAAAATTGCACTATTTATAGTAGTATTCCTCATTATCACTTAATAATATGTGCCTTCATCTTGCATGTTGCCATTTCTCCCTAGTTTTCTTAGTTTTTATTTGGCAATAAATTATAATTACAGTCTTCATTCTTCTGGCTGGCAGTTCGTCTAGTTTCTGGGACTTGGATTGGATTATGGCACTTTTTGACAGGTTTCATGGGAATAAGCAACCTGACAGCAAACTAAGATTAAATATATATTTCTCTCTGACAAACTTCACTCATCTTTGTGTCATAACATGATGATCATGTAGAGCCTACTTACACATTGTATTGATGAATGGATGAAAACAGTGAATTAGTTCAATCTGTTTCTTTTAGCTATGGTCATTTGCTATCCTAATTTTTAAGATGTCAGCTTCCCTATGCATTAACAGATAGTAATTGTCAATCTTGAGTGTTAGTATGATGCCTCATCTTTTATCTCAACTGGGTTTCTAACCTCTTTTTCAGCAATTTTATCCAGTAAACTACCTCAGAAACATTGCTTTGGAACATGTGCACACTCCATTTGTATTTTTGAGTGACATTGATTTTGTACCAGGGCCAGGAGCATACAGCTCTATGAGGTTTGTTGAAACATAAAACATCACTTTTTAGTGTTCTTTCTTTACTGAATCTGAATTATCTAAATGTCAGGCCAGTTATTTGCAAGAAGTACATGTTCTATTTGTTCCAAAAAATCAACTGATTAATTTGTTTTTTAACTTGATCATATATCCCTGTTTGGTAGGAATCAATGAAAGGCATCATGTCATCCAGTTTTTTTCTCACCCATGAGGAGCAGGGTCATGGTTGATCAGTCATATTATAATAGTATTTAATTAATATGTAATACCCTTTAAGCATTTTCAAATTTCCATCAGCCCACAGCAGTAACTTTCCATAATTGTTTGAACAGGCAATGGTTGAAAACAGCTTCAAACATGAACGAAAAGGTCAGTTGATATTAATGATTGAAGGTTTTGGCAAAAGAGGGGTCTGTCAAATTTCAAAATTGTGTTACTTAATATTTAACTATTGTGTAACATGTTGGAAATCATGTATCAGTATAACTTTGAGCTTGTGTCTTAAAGGTATTGATATAATGTTCTATTCTTACCCCTGAGTTTAAAACCCCACTATGGTAGTAAAAGAAAGGTCAATCCACTGAGCATGACAGCCTATTTCAGATTTAAAAATAGTAGGTAATACTTCGTATTTGTTTGCAGGCATTTGTTGTTCCAGCCTTCGAGACTCTTCACTACAAATTAGATTTTCCAAAAACAAAAGCACAGTTGCTGTCTCAGTGGGACCTAGGCTCAATATTTACATTTAGGTGGGTTCAATAAGGGATTATAACTTTTTCATTTTCAATGAAGCCCATTTTTTTCAAAGAGGCCATTTATCAGACTGAAATCATAAAATGGTGGAAGGAGAAGAAATTATTATATTTTAGAGCAGATAGTTAAGAACCTATGATCAAGACATAAAATATATCATTGAAAGAATTTTGTTCTTGTAGTAATTGCATATTAAGAAATTAAATGTTTATTTTACTATCATGATTATTGATGCAGAATTCTCTTCCTTGCAACATGCAGAGAATGTAAGTTTGTTACAGGTTATGATTGAAAAATCTTCACCCAGGTAGTGTGTCACAAGTGTTAATGGTGTGAAGGATTAGTCAGATGACCAATGTTTCATCTGACATTTCTTGATCTTTATCCAGACACCATGAGTGGAGTAAAGGTCATGCAGCAACCAATTATGCCAAGTGGAGAACAGCTACCACCCCATACACTGTAAGTAGTGGCAGTAAGAACATTATATCACATTGTTACTAATATTATTTGACTTTACTTCACAGAATGGTGTAATCTGAATTTGTCGCTTGACCCACACATTCATAGCTGCATCATAGTGTACTCTTATAAATGAAACTTTGAATTTGAATCATAAAAATTGGAAACATCAGGAAACTTTCTGACTGTAATCTAGAAAATTTTGACCTTAATATGATGCAAAAGACAGGCACAGAGTCTCGCAAGCACAAAAATAATTCTGCAATTGAAACTTTCCTTTTTTTTTTTTGAGTTGGAACAGTAAAAAATGCAACTTGTCTTTTCTCATTTCTGTTTTTCTTTAAGTTATGGAACTAAGTGGCATGATTGCAGCAGGCCCAGATTGCTTTTTCTGGACTGGCTCACATCAGCCTGTCCTGCCTTGCACATGTCAGCTGTTACTATGGTCTTCTTTGGGATTGCCCAAGTGGGGTGGGACAGTTCGTGTGATAATACTAGCTAATCATTATTCAATAAATTAAAACTACTTTTTAAAATCAATTTCATTTTATGTAAAGCATTTGTTTAAATTTATTCATTACAGATTCAGTGGGAAGAAGATTTTGAGCCTTACATAGTTGTAAGGAATAATATCAGCAGATATGACAAACGTTTTGTTGGATTTGGTTGGAACAAAGTAGCTCACATAATGGAATTACAAGCTCAGGGGTAAGTTAAATATGTTAGAATTGCCATAATAAGCAGTCTACTTGATGGTGAGTTAATTGAAGAAATAGAATTGTCTTCAAATAAAAATTAAATTGTATATTTAGACAACAAATTTAAAATTAACTTCAGTCTAGACTTTGGTAGATACTTTTTAAAAGATGAGGTGTTTTTCTTGAGTCACTAAGAGCATTCCCATACTTGAAGCTTTATTGTGACAGTATAATAATTATTATATACAGTGATTATATCCTGGAAATAAACTGTATATAATGGAAAGTTTCCCAACCCCTTATTTTTATTTTAGCCAATGGAAAAAAGTATATATTTCTTGTGATCTCATTAGTGGAAAAAATCATAATTCAGTACTGTGACTTTCTCTTATTTTCTGTGAATTTTCAAATTTGTCAATTGGGAAGCAGGCAGATTGACCACTTGTTTTCAAAGAAGCTGGGTATAAGTAAGTTCTCTGACACAGAGATAAGGATGGGAACAAGAGACTTGTATTATTTTTTAATTTGTATTATGCTTTGAGTCTCCACATCAGATTGTACAAATTAAAATGATAAGCATTTCAAAAGGTGAAATAAATTTCCTTCAACATCTTGAAAATATTTTGAAAAATAATCGCCTGAAGAAGACTAGCAGTATGCAGTCAAAACGTTGCGATCTACATCACACATGAGACAAACGAAAAACTTAGCTTTTATAAAAAATACATTGGTGCCCTAAATGCTCCAACTTTACCCCACAGTAAGGGAAAATACCACAGATATGGTGGGCTAAATTTTAGTGTGCTGGACTCCATGAGATAAGCCACAGTCAAATGAGCCACTTAATTTGACAGCTGCAGGACTTCACTTTTAATCTATAAGCATTCTTTAAATTACATGACTTTGTTTACCATAATTTTGGATTGTGTGATGTTGTGTGTTTATCCACATGTGCAATCTCAACCATGGGAAACTTGAGAGTTATGATCATTATGGTGATGCCACTACTAATAGCAACTTGAGACAAATAGTTCAGGTTTAAAATGGCTGTGTTTTTTACCATCTTTTTGCATATATACTTACATACTTGCATATATATATATATATACTAACTTGTTTCCTATTATGTCTTTCAAACTTGAGTGTATATGGTATTGTCAATTTAAGGGCAACATGGTGTATAGAGATTATTACTTCATAGGGGCAGTATTTTCAACTCAGTGTTATCAAAGCTTATACCTAGTTTTTGTTCACAGGTATGAATTTGTAGTTTTACCAAATGTGTTCAGCATACACATGCCACACTCACCTTCATTTGATATATTTAAATTCAGATCCAGTGCATTGTACAGAAGGTGAGTGCAAATTTACAATCTTGTGAAATATTGAAACTGTCTGAAAGTTTGAAAAAAATTCTAGGCCTGTATGGGATTTTCACTTTATCTCAAGTAGTGTTCAGTACTGGGAAGATTGCTTTCATATCCACTTCTTTATTGGAAATTCACACATATGATTTTCATTTATGACATGCATTCATACACCACTTCATGGGTTTATTTGGAACCAACATAATGACCAGCTCTCAGTTGGCTTGTTAGCTCAGTTAGTAGAGCACTGCATCAGTATCACAGAGGTCATGGGTTTAAATCTTGTACAGGCCTGAATTTTTTTCAGGCCTTATTTTCACTACTGCTCAAGTAGTGTTCATTACTGCGAAGATCATTTTCATATTCATTTCTTCTCATTGATAGTGGTGACCTGTTGAATTTTTGTTCACAGATGCCTCAGTAGATTAAAACAAGAATTTGTTCAAGATATGATAACAAAGTATGGAAGGGAACATTTGGGAGATGTGGACATGGATAGTTAACAACTGTTATCTTGATTTGTTTTTAGTCATGTTTATAATATTTTAAATCTGTCAGTTTTAATTAGCAGTTGAAAACAAAATACTTTTTATTTAAACAAGCTTGGAGAAAGTTTTACTAGGTAACAAACCAAGTGCTGAGGGGGTTTTATGTCATGATTCCTAGATCAGAGCAGAACAGCTGTATCATTACTGGAAGAACAAGGTAGCATCGCAGCTGTTTGCGTTGTAGTAAAATAGAGCTAACTCTTTACACCCTAACATAGGTGTTCTTATTCTCCTTGCTGTTCCCTATACATTTCCATTGAGGCTGACATGGAGAATTTGTTCACCTTTCAAGTGCTTCTCCAGTTGTCTTATTGGCAATCATTTCCTTTATTCTCATGACCTTAGAGTTTGATTCAGCAGTAATACTCAAGAAGAAATTAGATGCCAACCATTCTTAGTGGTTAAAGGGTTGACCCTTTCTTAGCCAACCCAAAGCTTAGTTTAAACATGCTTGGCACAGATGAAAGTGGTATGAAAACAGCTATAGATATAGTTTTGTTTTGTAATACATGTAATTAAGCTGAGTTAGTTACAAACTGTAATAACTAACAACTGTCTTCACTTCATTTCCAAATTCAATTAATTCAATTAAATCAAAGGCACTCTTTTAACTTACAAACTTTCATATTTCAGTGAACACACTGTTGATACATGAACTAAACTTTTAATAACAATTCAAAAGCAGTAGTTTTATAGGGGTTTTTTTTTTTTAAAGGTTTTACTTAAATTGAATCCTTACACATATTCTGATACTTACAGCTATTTTATGAGGGGATAGAACCTGCAATAGTTGAAGTTACAGTTATTTATTTTTATGTGTACCAACAGCATATGTGTTATTTGAGAGGTGCATGAAGAGCATTGTTTACTTTAAATTTCCTGTCAGTGGCTATCATTCTTTGTTGTTGCAGTGCTGACTATGTTCTCTTCTGAATCTATTTTTGTTACAGTGATGAGTGAAAATCAGTCAGGTTGCATCCACAAAATACAAATCAAAATTATTTACCCTTGAATTTCAAATCCATGTAGGTAATTCTAATTTATTTTCACGGAAATTTTATTTTATTTACACAAGGGTTGAGGTTAGTTGTCACAAATTATTTGATAAATCCATGATCTATAGAGTAATAAATTGTAATAAAAATATTCAAATGATTCAACCAATAAAATATTATCAAGATGCTTCACTGTTTCCCTATTACTGACCCAAGTGTTGCTGTAGTTGTAGAGCATCGGGAAGAAAAAGTAGTATACACATGTAACAGCAATAATGGTCGCTTCTTTGAGCCAAAGGACTATTGAAACAAATGTTAAAGGACTCAATCAACCCAGTGAGAAAATGAGTCAAGATCCATTGTGGTTCTATCATTAGTGTCCAAGCAAATGTAAGAACAGAGCCCATTCCTGGATTTTGAGGGAAACCACACTATTTGGTGAGAGACAGGCATAACACTGCACTAACCCTGAATCTTAACAACTTGAGAAGCAGTGCACTGGTTTCACTGTTGTTGTCCATCAGTGTGTGTATGTGTCCTTCTATCTCTTACTTTCATTGATAACAGCTTTTTGTGCATTAGTAATGGAAATTTTGCCATAGGTTTGAAGGTTGAGGGACATCAGAGCTAGGGGGCAGGGTTATAGCTCCCATCAATTTCAAGCAAAGAGATGTTGAAGTTTCTTAGTGAACACCCCTCCCCCCCATACCCTCCAAGAAGCATCCAGCTATTCACCCCTCTTCCTTCTCCTCAACTTAATTTTTTTTAAACTCTCCTATTTATGCTTTAAATAACCAATTTCTCAATACCAGATTAAGGTACCATATGGAGTGGATGTTTAAATCAAAATACTTTATTCTAATGAAAACACTAAAAGGGTCTACAAACTGCACAGAGGGTTCTGTATCCACTGCACAAGTAAACCTACAAGCTAGTTATTGGATTACAAGTGAACTTAAAGGACATGCTGACTGGTAAATGCATACCAGACATGGTATTCTTTCCAATTCAATTTGATTATGAGCTACACCTAAAACTGCTACATTTCAGTGTTCTAGGAATAGCATTGCAGGGTAGAAAGTTGATGAGTACATGTGAGAAATGTTCAAATGAAAACATATTTCCATAATTAAGATGCTTATTTTCTCATCTCAGATACAAATATTCAATAGATTTTTATTGTCTGGTAATAAAAGAAAAATAATTTCTTGAACTAACTTTGTTGCTCTAAATTTATTTGCTAACACTATAATGAGGAAAAACATTCAATGTAATCAATGATGTTTGTAGACTTATGAAATCTTTTGATTTGAATTCTCTTGGTTTGAAAAGATGAACTGTTGGGAATTGTAGGAACCCCTGAGGTTCATATTTGTGTGATGCTTTGAAAAAATGAAAAATAACATGCTACAGTAAGTAGTTTTATAAGAGGAGTGATCAGTGGTTATGGAAATGTGAAAGGCACAAAGTGGACCCCTCTGTGATGATCTTGCCAATAAGCCACAAGTTAGAGAGTAGGTAAATTGTAGCAATATTTTTCCCCTGTAAAACAAAATTAATAAAAAGGAACTATAATATTGTGATCCAATGAGACACAAAAATGATGCCCTGCATTCTGTAGTTTTGCTGTTCTAACACAGACATCAATTTGGTATAAGTGATTCTTTCTGAGAAATGAAAGGTTTCCACTTGATTTTAAATTGAGTGGGCGGTGATTAAAATTTCCAGTCTGTGAAAGGTTGTCAGATTGAATTATCCAATGTCTGAACATAATATTGGAACAAATACATGTATTACTCATAGAAAGAATGTTCAAATGGTACAAGAACTCTCAGTATTCTTGATGTGACTGAACAAACATGGGTAACAAGTTTAAATAAATGAGGACAGTGTTCATCTTTCAAGCCATGAAGGTGTAGTATTTTTTTCCTGTAAACAGCTCCACTGTTCCTTAGGATGTATGCTGTTGCTGTGACTCATCATGTTGTTGTTGTTGTTCCCCTTCCTTGTGTTCTTCTACTGCTGCTCCTACTGCTCCTACTATTTGCTATCAATCAGAGAAAACAAACAAACAAAGTTAAACTAGGAAATCTTAGAGTAGTGGAAGTCATCAGGCCAACCCTCAGTAATGAACTGGGCAATACCAATATCAATAAGTTATCCTCCTTATGAACTGTAGACCATGGTAAAATGCTGAAAACCAAATAACCCCAAAATGCAATATAAATGTTCTTTCTGGGCTACTTCCTTAATTACCTTATGGATAGCCATATTTTCAGGATACTCAAGACATTTATTACTTAGCAATTGTGCAATTATCACTCCACCCTCCTCTATGAACCTCTGGGTTGTCATTATGCCCCAGGCACAAGTGACTTTGTCAGTCCCTGGGGATTGATTTTGTGACACTGTTTACAATTTATTACACAACTATGCTTGAACTACATACTGATGATTGGCAATACTTTTCGGCATACAAAGAAGGTTAAATAGCTGTGTAAGTTTAATTTTTGTAACTACAAAAAAATGTACCAAATACAGTTGTGGTAATGATTTGATTTAGCACCCTCCTTCCAATAAGGGCCCCCTTTCTAATAAGCTGCTCCACTGAATTTGGTTTTTTCTAAGAAGTGTCACTATTTTAATAAGCACCCCTATTGTGTAAGCACTCTCATTATATTAAGCACCCATATTCCAATAAGTGCCCCTATTCTGTCTGCTAGAGTATGTATACTCTGAGATCAACTATGGTTCATCTTCCTTCAATTTTTTTTACTTGAAGCCTCACTATAAAAACAGTAATCTACATCTTAATCTCTCCACTATAGTGTCAACATGAAATCACAGTTCCTTTAAACAAATGACCTCGTCTCAAAATTCTGTGACAGTTGCTTGGCTGATTGTTCTAGTGAGGAAGGATCCAGGGACAACAAGTCCATTTTCCAGTCCTCTTGATCCTTTTCAAAGAAAGGCCAAAGTTTCATTTAGCACATTCTGCACCCTATCCCTTAAAAGCACTCTGTCTCAGTAAGGTATATATTTAGGTTCTCTTTGGATAATTAATTATTTCTGGCTTTCATGCCTAAATTTCATTAAAAAAAACCCTCTGCATATAAAACACTTGTCTAAAGAAGACAACAACCTTTGCAAGGTCACCAGCTGTGTTGCCTCCTACAGCTCCTTGATCATGAGTAGCCATCTTTGCTTTCTCCTCCTCTTGCAGTTGTTTCTCAAACTCTGCTAATTCCTCATCAGTATATGGCCGCTCCTCTTCAACACTTTTCCACCCTTCATCTTTGTCAAATTCATCACCTTTACTTGCTGTCAGAAATTCATCAATTGAAACAAAACCATCTTTATCTTTGTCAATCTGAAATGGGTTTCATAAACACGACACAATATTAGAATAAAATGAATGAAGATAAAATGTACACTCTAAGCCATCAATAGGTGTGTATAAGTTAGAGTATTCAATTGTTTAAGATTTGTGCATAGTTTTGAAAAAAAAAATCTTGTTAAAAGCGATAAACTGCTTTTCGGTTTCCACATGGCCTCATCAATCACTGATTCATTCATTGGGTTTCCAAAAGCATATCCCATCCAGGGAAAGATTAACTACAGTAGCTGTGGAACTGAAAACTGTGTTTTGGGAAGGTAGACATGGAGCAATTTTAAATGAGGGTTGAAATTATCCACCACTAAATTTGTTTAACTCACTATGACCTGTGACTAATTCAAAAAAGGTGCACCTCCTTTTTAATCAATTTGGTGGAAAAGTGCACATAATTGCAAATTGGTCACTAATAGATAAAATTGCATTCATTTCCTAGGGCTCCAATTGAAAAGAAACTGATTACAGAAGAAAAAAATAAAGGTTAGACTTGCTAGCTTGTTACCTCACTCATGACATGTTCCCTCATTCTTGAAATCTCTTCATCTCTTTCTTGAGGATCATAGTCTTCATCCTTCTCATCAAAGAGTTTGTCTACCTAAGTTCAAAGTACACACAAAATCCTGCATGAACTACATTTCACTTAAGTTCAAAAAATACTTTAATTTAACTATTAAACCTATGTAATGGTTTTTTAACCTCTTTGCTTCATATCTTCTGGCAACTGAGGCTTAAATTCAATTAAAATTCAAGTAATAAACATAATCAAACCATAATTATATTAAAATCAATTAGTGCCTTGGCCAAGGCTCAACTTTAAGAATTTTAAATACATATATTGTCTTTAAAGCCTAATGAAAAATTTCACACCTGTACCACTCCATCGAAAGGTACTTAAAATACCAGAAATGAACCACTGAACGAGAGTTAATTCATCACTGAAGAAATCAAAACCCTGGAAGTAACAGCCCCAATAATTCAAGAATAATGTTCTTGCTGTTTAAAACAACATGCATACATATGACATTTAGGGATACGAGACTGTTCTTACTTCTTTGACAAAAAGAGCCTCCAACTCTCCTGTGTCCAGGTAGTTATCACCATTTGTATCTGAGAAAGATCAAGTAGGTATCAGAATAGACAAAAAAACTTGTTCATGAACCTGGTTTGGGAGTTGGTTTCCTTTCAACAGACTGGGGTATAAAAAAAAAAAATTACATTTATTTAGTGTTTTTAACTTTAAGCTATATTAATTTTCAATATAAAAGTTAATATTAATAAAAGTCTTACTCTTAAAAAAATACTATCTAATAAATGCAGATGCTAATTACCGGTAAGTGGTCAGTGGTATCTGATAACTAAAAATAATTTTCCTGATAGAGAAAACTTGACACAGATTTTGGCAGGCTTCATTCTGTCATGCACCAATCATCAAATAAACTTTGCAACCTGCTGAGGTCAAGCAAGATTGTGTCATTCCATTTCAGCAAAACTCACTTTTGAATACTTACCATGAAGCTTGAAAAATGTTCTTGGTTCAAAGTCCTTTGCATCAAGACCATCAGTTTCCTCCCAAACTTGCTCTAGTTGAGCTTTACTTCCCTAGAAAATATATAATTATATTGCTTTGACAGCATCCTGCAAATGTGACCACTACATGGCAGACCCCTAAAAATTTGGTGTTAAGTTGTAAATATTAGATTAGCCAGGAGAGAGATACATTGGCCTGATGGTTAGCAAGTAGGACTCTGAATCACAAAGTCCAGGCCCAGGGGATAGTTGAGTGATTTTGTGCCTGAAATGTTCACTTACTGGATGATGGAGATTCTTGGATGCATTAAGATGTTTCTCCCTCAATGCCTCATATCTTTCTTCTTCTTCTTTGCGTGCCTTCTCATCCAGCTCCTTTAAATGTTCCTTCCTTTTGTGTTCCTTCTCCATTTCATGCTTTTTAAATTCATCTCTGCGCTGTTTATCTTGCTTATCCATCTCTTCATGGTGCTGTAAACAGTAACTGTTATAGTTATGTTCTTGAATTGATTACCTCATTCTTCATGTGAATTCTCAAAGACAAGGACAATTTACTACACAAACTACTTAGAATTGATGTTAGCACCCACCACTTGAAAAAAAAAATGTATGAATGTTGGATGATTTATCTTATCAATCACTTGAGAATTGGTGTAAATTCAGCATACATATTTCAAGGTATGGATGCATACATATTGGAAGTCTGGGGGGTATGAGAGAAGTGTAATTGCTGTTATTAACTCTCATCTACACTCCAAGCAAATGACCAGACTGATATAACTAGACTATGTACAACTAAAAGTAAGAATCAGTTCCTTGTAACATGGCAGACACAACCATCTTGTTTTAGCAAGACTACTTCCTTTGTTTCATTTCAAGTTACCAAAAAAAATGTTTCTTTGGGATAATCAAAGAAAATGAGGAGAAACAAAAGTCAAAATGCTCAATTTTAAGTTGAAATCTTAGTTTAGAAAAGTCACCACTTGAGGAAGGGTTTTGATAGAAACATTGACATGGAGAGAACTGGTGGTCACACTAGAAGTCAAAGTTTACAACAGATCTACATCTACATGTACTGTAACATCTATTTTAATCAATAATTTGCAGCCACAACAACATGCAGAGTGTCTATAGCCAAGCGAGTATCACCCATTAATTCCTAGTTATGGCTAGGGCAAGAAACACCCTGAAGAGACAAGACAAGTCATACGTAAGTGAAATATTATTTTGATGGATTTCAAATGGTTTCAAAAAAGGATAAGAGTAACATAACACCCAGGGTGAGAATACTAACAGCTGCTTCATGTTACAAAAATTTTTTGTTACCTTTATACCAAATGAGGAGTGAAAACATTATATACTTCTTGACTGTAAGGAAGGGCCAGAGGAGGAGGTATTGAAATCACAACTTAAAAACAGCACAAAGTAAGGCTCATGGGTCATGACTGCAAGCCAAAGATTTCCTCGTCCAGATCGACCAAACTCAGTCAAACTCAGTCGAATTTTTGGATATTATGCGTGATGTGTGAAAAAGTCAAATATCTTTACGGGATTGAGTTTTAAAAAGGATATAGGGGACTCTCAGTAATCATCCGAAAACAAATGTATGACGCTGTTTGTCTCGTGACATAAGGTTTGTGGAAATCCTCACTGATATTGGTACAAGTCATCAATAACGATCACAGTAATAATAATAGTAACCGGAAAATACCAAGGAAAGTGTAACGAAGTGGTGATTTGCTTTCATCAGAGATATCATCCACTGTGAAAGCGGGTAAAGCTTGTTTACTCGCGAAATTTTGTTTCAATTCATCATCGAAGTTTATTAACACAGCTATCCAAAATTTTTTGCTTCTTTCGAAAGAGATCAGCAGATGTTTAGATGCCTTAAATTAATTTTAATAACTTTAAATTACCTTCCATAAGAGCTTTTTAAAGTCTTCAGGGCCAAAGAAATTGGGATTTTCGTCGTCGAACAAAGGGTTCCAAGACTCTCTTTCCTTCAGACCGTTTAAGTGATCGTTCATTTGTCGTCGTAGCATTCGCTGTCTCTCTACTTCCTGTCGTTTTAATTCATCTAACTTGGTCCTTACATCATGTTTCACAAGGTCTAAATCATCTGCAACCTGACCAGTTCTTAGTTCATCCTCAGAAGCGTTCAGTAATCTTTTAACGTAGTCATCATCATTTTCTAAAATTTCAATAACTTGTTTTAAATATCTGGCATACTCTGGATCGCCTTTCCCCTCCGCTGGAGTGTCTGGTTTCTTTGTATCTTTCCTGACGACCGGCGGAGCCACGCAAAGAACTGCCAATGTAATCAGAACGCCACATACAAGCACCCGCCTTTGGTGCATTTCTGATAAATCAAATAAAAAACTTTCGTGTTACTACTCCAAGGAGATCAACGACTGTCGAAAAAAATTAATCAGAGAAAACAATTCATTTAAGAACAACTGAATGTTTCTGAAACGTGGCACCATGAACACCGAGCTGTTGTGTCACATGGACAGCTGTCTGAAGGCGCGCACCAGCGTTCGGACCATCGCACAGATGACCTCGGCCTATCCCGGCCGTGATCAATAGCTGGAAGATTGAATTCTACATAAAAGATATCAAGGCTAAGGTATGGGTATCAGGCAATCAGGCTTTCTGTTGGAAAGAAACTTTGTTTTTTGTGCCTGCACTAGTGTGGATCTACCGCAAACGCAAAGTGCATATTTTTTATGCGTTTTGAGTGTATTATACACAGCATCTGTGCTGATTTTGCACCGCAGAAACTTCTCTTCTTCCGCCATTACACCATACCATATGCTTATCAGGCTAAACTTCACGCATGCGTGTTGAGGACTTGACTGCGATTTACAACTAAACGAAGAAAAAAACGAAGCCAGAATTTCAACTCGGGCGTTTTCTTTGAAAAGACCGAGTAAAGAGAGCCAGAGGAGTCAGTTGTCTCCTTCTAACCCTCACAGTTTGGTCTAGTCACGCAATGCGTTCTCAAAGTGGGGGAAGAGCGCGCGTTGCGTGACGAGGCCAAACAACAGCGGGGTCAGTGGTTGAAAGAAGTCATGCATATGCCAAAACATTTAAGGTGAGTTCAATTATTCTAGAGAATAATTTCCTTAAGTAAGATATTACAGTGTCATAGCTCTCTACAAATATGCAGAACTACAACTATGTTGAAAGTGTGAAAAGAAGGCGTGATAAGTAATTTTTCGGTTCGGCCAATCATGAAGGAGCTTCGATATGGGCTGTCTCAAAAGGAAATAATATATAATTAAAGGTGTGTGCTGCATTTCGCACAGTAGAGTTGTGTCATTGAATTGTTGGGATTTCAAGCCTTCTATAACCATGTCTGGTCTAGTTAAAGCTAAGAAGTACGATTGGAAGGACAGCAACTTGGCTTTGTTTGGCTCCGATACAGAGAAAAATGTGAGGAGCTAAAAAATTTTGCAGAATCGCAGCAGTCATTATGAATCATTAATATAGATTCACTGCAACTCTGCTTATGTTTAGCGGAACCACATAGTATGTATATGTGGTGTGTATCTGTTGTTTTTCTCTGTTGAAACCCATGCTTTCCTTGTGTCCTAAAGGTGAAGAAAGAAGCAGCTGCTGGGGAGAAGGCTTGGGAAGGCGCTGGAGAGAAACCTGGCTTGGAAATTTGGCGTATCGTCAAGTTCAAGGTAGTTAGATGCTTGGCAGTAGAGATTTATGTTATGCATATCTAAAGAAACAGTTAAGCAGCTGAAACGTTGGTAGATCAATTTTTAAGAATTCGGAAGTCTCAAAAATTTCTTTTGGTCGCTTTGGTGCGTAAAGGGACAAACAATTAAGAAATCTAACGAAAAATGTTTGGTAAGTCATGCCCCTCACGTATACGAAGTAAAATTTTGTTCTGGAACGCTGCGGACTGTTCGGTATGTACGTGGGCGGCATTGGCTGGGTGGGGTGGGGTCATGCAATCGGTAAACAGCCATAAAGCACAATATAACAAGACTCTTCTAGAGTTGATTATGCTCATATTGTTTACTGAATGGAATCTTATTCATATTCCTGATTATTAATTCCTAAAAAGTTATTAATTGTAGCTTCAGGTCGTGAAGATAATGGTTTGTTTTCCTTCATTTCAATATATATGTCCAAAACAAATATAATTCCAGGTCAAAGAAAAACAAAGAGATACTAGACTTGAAAACTCTGCAAAGTGAATGTTCTAGATTGAGGTGTTTCAAAAGGGTGCTGGGAAATAATGAATTGATCCCCTACCCTATATTATAATGCAGTGTAATTCTGAACTTTTAACAAGGTACAGTGCAGTGCTTTCAATAACATTTGAAGTAGATTGCTACTTCGGTAAAGCACCTGCCAGAGAATAATATGAAAAAAGAAATTCACTCTCAATAGTTCTGTTCAGAATAAAATTGCTTCAAAAAGAGTTTTTGGTGACGAACTTTGGTAAATGAGCATCAGATGTTAGTCTCCTTTGTAACATTTGTTTAACTTATTATTTATTTTAATCAGATCTAATCAAATCTTCCATTTGCTGACACGCAAACCATCCTGTGGATGGACATATGGTTACTGGTTACCCAAATTTGAGTCAGTATGTTGTGTACTCAAAATCTTATTTTGCTGGAAATGTGGTGTATGGCATGATGAGACAATATCAATAGTTTTTATCAGAACTTAATGGTTTATAATGGTAAAAGTTTCCTGAAAGAAATCTAAAAGATCTTGATGTGTTTTAGGTCTCACTGCGTGAGTTTGTTTGGAAGCTTTCAAAAAGTCACAAAAAGATCCAGAATGGTGGTAACCATCCAACATCACATAATATGAAACACTTTCAACAGGCAGTCTGCAAAAATAATACTAGACAATATCCAGTGTACATCAAATTTCAATATGAACATGTTCTCAAAGTCTGATGCAATTCAAACCTTCCTTTGCCTGGCCAAGTCAGATTCTTTAGGTTTCCATTTGTACATCGTTTTTGGACTCACGATTGGAAACGTATTTACATTTTAACACCATGGTCTTTTTTTACAGAGTTTTCTTCAGCTTTGCAATTTGAACAAACCTCTCAATCTTCTGCTTTGAAACGCTGAATGCATTTTTTGTGATTGCAAGTTTTTTTTTTCATTATTATTTTCTACTGGGTGAAATTAAAGATATGTAGCAGTGAATTCTATCAGTTTTATATATTGGAAAAACCCAGGATTATTCTTGTCTGCAGAAGTGATGCATTACTGATGGATTCAGCTGCACTAAATGTTTGCATAACATAATTGAATTAAAGCAATCATCCAAAGACTTTTAGTTGTTCCCAAGGCTTGTGTTTTATATCAGATAGTAAACAAAAGACAATTTCTTCCAGAGTTAAACCACCAAGTCAAAAGTAGTTTCAGTTCATGAGTGATAAAGGCCAAAGGGAGGAATTAGGAGCTTGACATTTTGGCTTCAGTCCATTTTGTACAAACCAGTTCCAGTTGCTACTTGTTTGTGGTTAATTATTAACAAACCCCAACCAACCTCTATTCAGGGGATACTTGCTGCAGTCCCAAGGGGGGCCGCTGAATGGAGGTCCACTGCACTTGAAAATTCCTTACTTAATCCCCATGTGAATTGGAATTTTCAAAATATAGAAATTGCTCACTGTAGATCTTTTTCATTAACCCTTCCCACCTTAATATCAGTATCCATATTCTCCACACTGGTCTCTGTACATATCCTAAGTTGCTGACAAGGAGAATTTGTTTAACAATTTAGACTTTCTTTGGTTGTTGTTCCTGGCTGCCATATAAATGTTTTATTTAAAAAAGGGTTCAACCTTGTAGATTTGACCCTAAAAAATAAAAGTTAAAAAAAAAAAAATGAATTGTGTTTTATAGGTGACTGACTGGCCAAAAGAGGATCATGGCAAATTTTTTGATGGAGATAGCTACATTATTCTCAACACCTACAAGGAAAAAGAAAGTGATGAGGTATGAAAACTGATGTGAAGCAGTCATTCACTTCCATAGGAAATATCAGATTACCTGGATACCCAATAATTGTTATTTGCTATTTGTATTTTGAAGCTTTTGTATGATGTACACTTTTGGATTGGCAAGCACTCCACCCAAGATGAATATGGAACAGCTGCATATAAGACAGTTGAACTTGACACTTTAGTAAGTTTGAGTTAATTTTTTTGTTTAATTACTGTCTGTGAATCAATTAAAAAGACCAAATATGTAAACCCAACTTATATCTTGTAATTACCTGTTTGTTGTCCTTCTCTGTACTTGTGTTTATGTTGCCTGGGACTTAAAAAGGAAAAGATACTAAATTTTTGGGCATTGCTGGACAGCAAGGAATGTATATAATGGTTAGTGAACTGAGGAGAGTGCAGTTTTGTCTGGAATCGTATGACTGTTAGATTTCCAAATCAAATGAGCATGCAGCTGAAGTTTCATAGGAAATCACAAGTATGAATTCAGACCAAGATTGCATGACACAAAGTTCAATTACCACTTTATTGAATCCATTTTGAAATTGCAAAATTCAGTTGTTCAAATACAGGATTTCTTAGTCTGTGCAAATATTTGTACTAAGCTGCTTTGAAAAAAGTTACAAAAGTTGTCTTTTCATTTTCCTGCAATTTGATTGGTTACTTTAAACAAGCCTTGAAATCTGATTGGTTGTTGTGTTTTAGTGAAGCTTTCTCATGGTGCAAGGGTGCAATTTAGGGAATTGTACTCTTTTTATTTTCATCACAGCCCTTCATAGTTATTTTTCTTCTTCTGTCTGTAGCTCAATGACAAGCCAATTCAGCATCGTGAAGTCCAGAATCATGAGTCGGAGTTGTTTAAAAGCTACTTTAAAGAGTTACAAACCTTAGATGGGGGGTATGTAGAGCTGATTACCAAGTATCTTTAGCTACTATGGTAAAATTCAAACTTCAAGGTGGCTAACTGTGTTTATTTGCACATCCTTGTAGTAGAACATCACTTATTAGTTGGAGGGTGTGCAATATTTTGGGGGTGGGCCCATATATGATGTTTAACCAGGTGATCACATGTAATATCATTGGTTCAACATATTTTTGTCAATTTGCAATTTAAATGTAGCTGGAAATTTTGCTGAATGTTTTGAAACTTGCACCATGTGTATGTGTGTATAT